AAAAGTGACCCCTCTGCATCTCCCCTGACTCGTGTAATACCAATTGAAAGGAACCAAATGTTCTCTTTGGAAGTTCACTTTATCACTGTTAATCTTCTGTGTGGAGCAAATTTTATTAAAGTTCCCCAAAGAGCAAATTGTAAATTCATTAGGGCCCGTTTTGGACTGCACCTTCTCTCATTTTGGGTAAAAAAGGAGATTAGAAGTCATCTGGGCTCTGTGATAATTAAAAAGAAGATGCTCAAACATAATTCTTAATTAAACAGCAATGAGATAAGAACTTGTGTAGTCTGATTTTGGTGTGTTGGAAAGATGCAGAGGTTCCCATTGTAATTATGTGATTTATGATCTTCCACACAAAGATGTAATTAGTTTTTTCTCTCCCCTTTTTAAAATTTAAAAAGTATTTAGATAAAAAAAATTGTGCAGCAATTTGAATCTGCTTTTCCTGAAGGAACAGTAATTTGGTTTGATTTATCTTTAGGTTTCAACCTAAAAAAAATTATTTGTAGCTAAAAGGGGATACCCTAAAATAAGACCCCTCCCCGAAGTCCAAGAGCTCTGAGGGAGGTGGGAAAGGGGGAGTGGATCAGAGGCACCCCCAGGACAGCCTCAGGTGCAAGTGAAACTCCCTGAGGGCACTTCCAGCATCTCCTCCCCAGCCTCTGAAAATCTGAAAATATCAAAACCTGCAGGGCCTGCAGTGACTTGCTTTTTTTTTTTTTTTAAATTTTCTTTAAAAATTTTTTTTGGTGGTTTTCATTGCATTTCTGGCTGAAAATATCAAAACCTGCAGGGCCCGCGGTGGGTTTATTGGTTTATTTCAGTAATTTACTTTCTATTTTTTTTTTTTTAATTTTCTTTTAAAATTTTTTTTTGGTGGTTTTCATTGCATTTCTGGCTGAAAACATCAAAACCTGCAGGGCCCATGGTGGATTTATTTTAGTAATTTTCTTTTTTTTAAATTTTCTTTTTTTTAGACCAGGATACTTGGAGCTCCATTCAGGTTGAGCCTTAAGCAGGGTGTTTTCTGTCCTAAAAAAAAAAAAAAAAAAAAAAATCTATATGTTATTAGATGTATAAATATAAAAATACAAATATACTAAAAATGCTAAATATAATATGTTATTAGATGTATAAATATAAAAATACAAATATACTAAAAATACTAAATATAAAAATCCATCTGTGGCATCCCCGCCCTGCCATCATGCTGGTTGTTCCCCTGGGAGAAGGAACCTGACTCACTGATGCTCAACAATTTCCTCAACAACACCTTACATGGCTCAGGCAGAATATTATATATTTAAATAAAAGAAAGTTTATTTTTTTAATCATTTGGACACTTTCTTTTTTTCCCCTGAGGGGTTTATTATCCTCAGTAAGCCCGGGATAAACCCCTTGTGTAACCCTTTAATCTGGGGTTGCCATCTGCACTCTGCGTGTGCCCGGTGTGAGCCAGCCCAAACTCCTTCACCAGAATTCCTCCCTCGCATGGATGGAAGGAGCTGTTTGAGGAGATGTTTGGTGTTTGAGGAGATGTTTGTTTGGTGTTTGAGGAGATGTTTGGTGTTTGAGGAGATGTTTGTTTGGTGTTTGAGGAGATGTTTGGTGTTTGAGGAGATGTTTGTTTGGTGTTTGAGGAGATGTTTGTTTGGTGTTTGAGGAGATGTTTGTTTGGTGTTTGAGGAGATGAAGGCATGGCAGGAGTGGGATTTGGGGTTTGGATCCCTGGGCAGATTGCAAATCCGTGGTGGATCAGCAGAGATGAAAGCTGGGCTGGGGTAAACGCATCAAATGGTTGGAGAGTGTGTGGTTATCAGACATTATCACACCTTATCACACCTTATTACACCTTATCACACTTTATCACATTTTATCACACCTTATCACACAGCAGGGTGACACTGCTGCCCAGGCTTCAGCCACAGCCCCAGAGCACCCCAAGAAAGGGACAGGGACAGGGACAGGGACAGGAACAGGGACACCTCCCACCATCCCAGGCTGCTCCCAGCCCTGTCCAGCCTGGCTGTGGACATTCCAAGGAGCCAGCCTTGGGCACCCCATGCCAGTGCCTACCCACCCTCCCAGCCAAAAATTGTCACTTCTCCATCCCTGTGGCATCTCCAGTGCCTGTGGTGATGCTGCAGTGGCAGTGACTGAACTTGTGCTTTGCTCCTTGGGAAATCTGGGAGCAGGCTCCCTGTGTCCCCTTCCCAGAGGATGAACTTGCAGCAATAGTAAGACAATTTTCTCAGCACCTCTGAGGGTATTTACTTTTTTCATTTCAGTTCTACATCTGTTCACTTGCCGACTTGGAATTTGCAGCCATCTTATTTAGGAGAAGGAATTGATTTCTCGGTCTGTTACTGCTGCTCTTGGTATAATTAAAGCATATTGCAACGTGAGGAATTTCTCCTGGCCTGGGAACTGCTTTGCCACTTGGGTAATTCTGTAAACCAAGAAAAGCTTTTCCTTTTCCTCTGGAATGTAAATTACACTTACAGCTACTTTAAAGCCTTTGTTCTGCTGCAGAGGACTGGGGGCTCTTGGTTTAGGGCTGTGCAGGGGCCTGGGGGCTTTTGCAAATCAATCCCTCAGGGATTTGGCATCCAGGCTGCTGCAAATTCCAGCCGAGGCACAAACTGGTTTTGCCCAGTGTGTAAATGGGAACTGGGACAGGCTCCCTCCAACCCCTGGGAAGGGTTTTGGTGCTCTGAGCTTTATGGGGCAGCACTGGGGTGGGGCTGTGGGGTCTGGGTGAGCCTTGGGCAGAGCCTGGGCTGGCAGAGACGGATCAAACTGCGAGGAGAATCCCTTCAGGGTCCCTGGAGATGGGCCCAGCACTGGGCAGGGCTGGGGCAGCTCTGGATGCTGCCAGGAGTGTTCCTGCCTGGATCTGCTGCACTGAGCCATGCCCTGGACACTCCAGAAGGAAAACCCCAGCTGGAGGGATGGGTTTGGCTCTGCTCTCGTCTCTAATAAAAGAGAGCTCTGAGATCCCTGGTAAAACCTGTCCATGCCTTAACCCTGCTCCTCTGTGGGGAACTGGATCCATGTGGATCTGCAGCCCTTGGGACAGCCCTGTTCTGTGAAATATTCCCTGCAATGGTTTTCTCCTTCCACCCCTGCTCACATCTCTAATAAGCTCGCTGTCAAAGCTGTCATTTGGAGCTCGTGTGAGAGAGAGAAAGAGAAGAGAGAGAGGGAGAAAAACCTGGGATCGATAAGGAACAGGAGCCCTCCCCCTTCCCTGCTGCAAACAGGCATTAATGGGCCATCACTTAGAGTTTAATTAAAACCAAAGTCAGCCCCGTGCCAGGTTTCAGGCTGGTGCTGTCTGGCACAGCAAACCCAGAGAGAATGAGCTCAGAGCAAGAATTCCTGTTTCATTTGCTCTTTGCACCCGCGATGGGCACCAGGGTGCACGTGCACATCCCAGAGCCTGGGATTTGTGTTATCATTTATTTTCTCATTTATTTTATCATTTATTAATGCCTACATCAGGCTGTCACATTCAAAAACTGTAATTGGGATGTAATTCCAGCAGTTTCTCCTGGGACTGCTCTCTGTGAGCCTCACTCTTGCTGGGCACTGCCCAGGCTCCCCAGGGGATGGTCCCAACCCCGAGGCTGCCAGAGCTCCAGGAGCACTTGGACAATGCTCTCAGGGGTGCTCAGGGTGGGATTTTTGGGGTGTCTGTGCAGGGACAGAGGCTGCACTGGATGATCCCTGTGGGCCTCTTCCAATTCAAGATATTCCATGATTCTCTGAAAAGATTTCATCCTGTATTTGCTTCCCTAACTGGCTTCCCGTGGAGCTGGTTGGGATTTTTTGAAAGATTTACTTAGTTCCCAGCTGCTGTTCCAATTCTCTTTGCCACTCACCTTCCTGTGCTCCGTGTGGAATTTATTTCAGTTCTGTGAGGGGTTTGCATTTCAACCTGGGGGATGGTCATGCCAGCTCAGAAAAGGATGGAAGCAGAATGAGAGCCTGGAGAGCAGTGATGGGGATGATTACCATCACAGAGAGGCAGGAACAGCAGTGCTGGGAGTGCAGGGGAAGGCTGAGAAACAGAGCTTAGAAGAAAAATCAGTTTTTCCTTTCTACTCTTCAATGGTGACATAAAGTGAGCATCAAAAATCCCCTCCCTGATGTGAGGCTGGTGAGGTGCCTGTCCCGTGTCTCGTGGCTGAGCTGTGGAGCCACTCGTGCTACAAATTTCCTTTGAGTGCAGATTATGAAGTCAGAACTCGTTACTATTCCCAGACTGCCTGGAGGGACACAGACACACGAGATGTGGTTATAAACCAGGAGATTTCTGGGTTTTATTCCTTTCTCTTTTTCCCTGTGCCATCAGGGTTGTTGCTGTTTGATGTGTGCTCGGCTCCCTCCTCGCTCCATCTCTCACATGGAGTAACAACATTTTGGAGGTGCTGCCATTCCCTGGGATCTCAGCTCACCTGATGCTCATTGTGGCTCTCTGGGAACTTGCTAATTAATGTTTTGTTCTTTTCTTTAGGCTGGAGTCAAGCTGCTGCTGCTGCTGCTGGTGCAGGAGGCAGAGGGGGAGCTGTGGAAGGGAGGGAGGGAAGGATCCCACAGCCCAGATCAACTCTCCCATCGTTCTGCAAACCCCCTGTCCTCACCAGCCTCTCCCTGCCATGCTCCTGCCTGGGCTAAGGTGGGTGAGGTGGGAAGCTCAGGCTGGAGGAGCCAGGCTTGGGAAAGCTTTAGGGTTTGGATCAGTGGGATAAGGGATTTTCAGCAGCTCAGAGGACCCCAGAATGGCTTGGGTTAGAAGGACCTTAAAGGGTCTTTTTTTGGGCCCAAAGCTCCCCCAGAGGAGCAGTTTCCTTCTTTGCAGCCACATGTTTGGCTGGTACAGGTGCTTATTTGAGCAGGAGCAGAGGGAGAGCAACCCTTCCCTAGCCCTGGGCAGCAGCAGGATGGATTTTTGGGAGGCCCTGTCCCCCCCCCACACACAGGGCTGCAGTACGTTCAGACAATCTTCCTTTAATACAAAGTCAATATATCTACATACACCGTGGTATGAAAACCACTTACTGTTTCAGTTTGAAATAACAGTGTGAAAGCAACAGCACTTTGCTCTCATACAAAGAAAAAAACCTCCCCCCTCCCCCCAACTTGTCCAGTAAGATTTTGCTGCAACATACTTAGAAATTTGGGCAACTTTCACACAAATAAGTAAAATCTCGAAGAAGCCTTTCAGTCGGTTCTTTTTTTTTTCTTTTTCTTTTTTTTCAGTTAAAGACAGGAAATGGGTTGTGTGGGGGGCTCTGGGCAGCACTTGATGGCCATGATTACCCCTTCTAGAAAAATAAAAAAAAGGAGAGGGCAGAGGTGAGCAGAGTTTGGGGCAGGGTGGCTTTTCTCAGATATCCTGTGCTCTGTGCATGGCTGCAGGAAAACTCCTGAGCACTGGAGCCACAACCAGCACAGAGACAGGCCAGGCTGGTACCTGCAACACACCTGGGATGTTAAAACACCTGGTGGGTGTCAAGGCTCCAAAATCACATCTCAGTCTCCAGTCAGCAAAAGCCACTGGTGGTGTTGAATCTCCCAGTTCAGCCCTGGCCCTGTATGGCCACAGCTGAAGGGGAGGGAATTGGCACTGCCACCAGCCCTCCACCTGCTGCTCCCCCACCCTTCCACCCTTCCAGGGACGTGGGATATGTCTGTGACTTCAAACAAGAGAACCCAAAAAAAAAAATAAAATTAATACTAATAAAAAAAATCCAGAAAGGACATTTTGTTCTTACATGAGCAAGTTAAACCTTTTAAATGGTAGAAAAGCAATATGTAGAAGTAGCAATTTGCACTGCATTTTTATATATCACAGCCATTACACGTAACATTTCTACAGTGAAAAAATAGACTGTCTTTGAACATAATATGAACAAATAAGCAAATTTTTCTTTTAAATTCATTGACTGATATTCTTTGTCTTTAAAAAAAAAAAAAAAAGGAAAAAATACACTATTTAAAAAAAAGGTAATGTCACTTGTTACAGTTACATCGATACTTTAAAGAAAGCCACTCACAGTATTTGCCATTGGATGCACCTTCCTGGATCTTTCCCAGTTCTTTTACAGCTGGGGCATGTTGGGGACAGTGGGACGTGGGAGATGTGCAAGGAGTGCCGTGGTGCTGGGCCAGTCCTGAGAGGAGCTCTGAGAGCTGCTGAGTTCAGAGGCGAGGGGCTGGCACCAGGAACCAGCTGGAAATCAATTTCTGCAGGTGTTTCTGGGGCCCCTGGCACGGAGATGCTGCTGGCAGGAGCAGGGGGATGCTCACGGCAGCAGTGGGGTGTGGATGTGCAAAGAGCCTGGGGAAGGGGCTGCCTTTCTCCCCCGGCTGTCCCACCCTGCTCCAAGGAAAGCCTGGTGTGCTGGGAAGGGGCCCAGACCCAGCAGTCAGAGGCCCCAGCTCAAGCAAGGGCAGGGGGCTACCCCCCACAGCCAGCTCTGGGGGTTGTGACTCTCACTCTTTCTCTATCCTTTGAAATATCCTAAAAAAGAAATTTTGGAATTAGAAGAAATGAGGAATGTTCCAAGTATTCAAAATGTGAGCTATAAAACCTCTGGCGTGGCAGGGGCATCCCGTGAATGCTGTTTGCAAGGTGCCTGCAAGCCCAGAATCATCCCAATGCTGATACTGAGGTTATTAAGACTCCAGCTAGAAGAACTCCTGACCCTAAGTTTGCCTAAGTGTTGAGATTTAGCTCCTTTTCGTCCACAGAACACCTTCAATTAATTCTGCAAGTGACTTCCTTTAAAGACTGCCAACTACATTAGTAAATGAACTGAACTCTAATGATGTAACCAAAGTCGGTTTTTCCTTCCCTTCTCCAGCCGAAACAGTTCCCAAGGTGTGTTGTAGCTTTGGGATGGGTTTCCCCGTGTCCATCCGTCCTCCCCAGCGAACACCTCCTGAGGTTCCAGAGCAGTTCCGAGCAGCCCTCCCGAGCTGCCCCTGCCAGGGCCAGGTCACAACACGGAGATCCCCACGGGGTGTTCCTCCTTCCAATCCTCCCCCCTGCTCCCGATGCACTGTCCAGATGAAAAGGTTCTTCTTCTGAGTCAGTTTTGTAAGTTCAAGCGCTCCTCCTGGGTCAGAAGGGGCCTTCCAGGACTGAAGTGGTTGGTAGAGTCTGCACAACGATGGCTTTTTATGTTGCATAGTGATCAAAACTTCCCAGATACTCCAGAGCTGCCTGGTAACAGAACTGGTATTCATCCTGCCAACAGCAAAGAGAAGCAGCCTCAGAGGTGGGAATGGGCTCCTCAGGATCCCTGTCCTGCTCTCCAGACAGCACAAAGCTGAGCAGGAACCTCTGTGATTCTCAAAGAGCTGAGAACTCCTGGGAGAGGGAAGTTCCAGCTCTCCCCTTCATGCCTGTGCCTCTCAGGTACTGAACATCCCTCCCTCTCCTGTCAGCCAGGTTCTTGTTTTTGGGTAGGAATCGAGGCTCCAGACTGGGATGGAATCTTTAAGAGACTTTCTAACTATAGGATTTTTATTTTTTTTTAATTAATTTTGTATTTCTTAGATGAAGCCAGCAGTGCAGCCTGGGCTTGCTGAGTGACCTCGGGTGAGGGTTTGGGAATGGTCAGAAATGCCAGGCTGGACAGGGCTGGGAACAACCTGTGCCAATGGAGTGAAACAAGAGGGGCTTGAGGTCCTTCCCAACCCAACCCAACCCTTTTATGATTCCTGGGAGAGGTGGGGGAGCCCCCTCACCTCTGTTTGCACCATTGCAGGTCGTTGTGTTCGCAGCATCTTCACTGTCTGGAAAATATCTACAACCCCCTCGTAGCGCATCCGCTCCAGGACGATGCTCAGGGTGATGAACACTCCAGTCCTGCCCACGCCAGCACTGCAGGAAGGGGAGGAAATCATCAGGGAATTGTGTGCTACAATGTCCCAATGTCCCTGGAAATGCTGCTTGGGGTGGGGCTGAGCTGTGCCCTGTGAACACGTTGGAAGTGGAGAGCCTCAGGTCAGTCCTCCAGGAGAGATACCCAGAAATAACCCAGGTGCCAGAGTGTGACCCAAAAAGTGTTTGAGAAAGGGAAATTGAAAATGTTAAAAGCTTTGGGTAGTGGTAAACAGCATTCAGTGGGAAAATTATTCCTAATATGTAATATTGGGCTTTTGAAAAGGAATGATTTTAATAAGAACAGATCATCCTGTCCTGCCTGTGGGTAAGGAGGTACAATTCTTGCTAGCAGCAAACACAGCCCAGCAGTGCTGGAGGTGTAAATTGGGCTGAGACTGGTAAAAAATATTTCTAATTCTGCAGGTCAAATATTATAGATATTCTATAGATATGCTGTATGTAACACTGTGGCTCCCATCTCCTTCAGAGGTATTTCATACCTCTCCTCTAAATATAAAGGGTCAAAAACCTTGTGCAGTGCCTTGGGCAGTAGGGAGATGAGTTTGGCTGGCAGAGGCCAGTGTTTGGCACCAACACCCCTAAAAAATATCCCTGAAAGTATGGGGTGGAAAGAGGAGCTATCTGGATTTTAATGCCTTCTGCTCTCCCGCATCCCATCTGGATGAGGTGTGTCCATGTGCCTACCTGCAGTGGACAGAGATGGGGCCATCCTGGCCAAACTGCTCCTTGGTCTTGTGCACCTGCCCAATGAAGTCGATGAAACCTTCTCCTGATTTTGGCACACCTTGTTCTGGCCAGTCAGTGAACTGGAACTGACGAACAGTTCGAGACTGACCATCCTGGGGGAACAAAACAGGAATAGTTCAACACCTGTGTTTGTGACAACCAACAGAAAAGGCAAAAAAAAAAAAACTCCCCTATTTTTGCTGCTAGTTTGTTAAAGGGCATGAAAAGTTGAGGCAGCTCAGTGCTGTCGTGAAGTGCACACGTATTTATTATCCAGCCTCATCACCACGATGGAGCTGCTTGTGTTGCAGCTGACGTTCCTGGAGTCAGGCTGTCAGCACAGATCCATATCCTGGCAGGTGCTGAAAGCTCTGACCACTGCAGACAGCACAGATGGAGTCTTCAGCAAAGGAACGTTCAAGGTGAGGTGTTGGCCCCTCTAATCAATCTTCACAAAGAATTGCCACAGTGTCAGAATTACAGCTGACAGGAAGATAAATCTTGTTCTACGAGGACTGATGAGGCATCCTCCTCCTCAACCTTGCAAATTGAATTATCAGGTTCTGGAATACTTTGGCAACCTCAAAAGCTGTGCTGCGAGAGGGAGGGTTATGTTTGCTACAGAAATTTGAGAAGGTATTGAAATGTTCCTTCAGATGAGAAACCTGACATTGAATCGAAGATTATTGGAGTGAATTTGTTCCTTTGAACATGACTGACAGTGGCTCCTCTCCCAGCCATAGAAGTGCTCATTTTCTGAAGGGTGCAAAGAAACCTTTGCAAGATTTTTATCAGCTTTTAGAGGGAAATACTTTCTGCTTTCACCTCAAATAAGCTGCAGCTAAACACCAAAGCCAGGCACATCTCTAACAAAGCAACTCAATGCAGTGAGAGGGGTTTGAAACTACTTTCAATTTGTAAAAATAAATGTTCCAGTACAATCTGTGTGTGTGTGTGTGTGTTCTGTTCCTCATCACAGCTGAGCTCTTGGGCACATGGACTCCAAACCTCCCTGGGCAGCCCCTTCCGCTACCTGGCCACGCTTTCCATGAAGAAATTCCTGCTGATGTCCAACCTGAACCTCCCCTGGCACAGCTTGAGGCTGTTTTGTCCTGTGAGCAGAGCCTGACCCCCACCTTGTTCTGTGATGATCCTTGTGGGTCCCTTCCTACCAGGATATTCTATGAGCTCTCCTCCACTGATAACCCAGTGTGGACACCTCAGCCAAGCCCACCAAACCCTGTGTCTTCTGCCAGCCCCTTTCCTCCTGGTTTGAACTGCCCCATCCTGAAACATAAACTTTAGGGAATTTAGAGATTTTAGAAGAGCTAAGATTTTAGTTAGAGATAAGCCTTACTAGAGTTAATGAAAATAAACGAGTAGGCCTTGATGAAGTTAAGAGTTAGTAGTTAACTGATTGCTTGACAGCACAATGTTTAGTTAGCTGGGTTTATAATGAAGAATATAGAAACTGGCAAATAGCTTTTAGGAACATAAGGCAATTGTGGGGCTCCTCTGTTCTGAAACCAACTGAAGACAAGGAATGGGAGTTCTACCAAGAGTTCATTTGTCATATTTGCGTTGAAAAGGTAGAAAGGTCAGAACGAGGAAGACTTCATTTACTTCCTCATTTTGGGAAGGGACCACTGACCCATTTCAAGGAACAAACTACGCCTGCTGAATAGCTTTTGAAATGATTAGCATAGGAAGCGAGGAATGGGATGTACCAAAATTATAAATATGCATTTATATTTTGGGTATTCAATACCTGTATGGATAAAAGGGCTCTGTAATCACCTAAGAGGTGCAGTGTGGATTTGGGAGCGATCCCACACACAATAAACACACACTTTCTAACTTTAAACTGTTAGAGAGTTTTTGTCCGTCACAGCTGGATATTGGTACTAGATCAACATCCATATTTCTTTAATAATTCAATCCCAGCACCTACCCTGGCATCTGTGACCTTGAACTCCCTCAGGATGTACTGGGGCATGTTGTACTCAGCCATGGGGTCCACGACGAAGTACTGGTACCGAGCCGAGCGCTCTGCGGGCCAGTACTGATGGCACTTTTCCTGCCCAGGGCAAACAGATCCTGTTAGTCCCTGTCCCTGTCCCTGCAGGATTCCCCTCCCAGCCCCTCCTCAGCCCCACTCACCCGCCCCATCTCGCGAAGCTTGGTCAGCATCACGACGATGGTGGAGTTGTTTTCCCAGAGCATCCTCCAGAAATCCTCGGTGGTCTCTGCCAGAGGCCCCTGCGTGGCTATGTAGGCTCTCTGCTGCCTGGGGAGCCCAAAGCAAGGAGAGGTCAGGGGGTGGAAGAACTGCATGGGCAGCAGCTTTGGGAAAGGCATGGAAAGGCTGAAGAGTGGGAGAGCAAATGGAAATGCTGGGGAAGGACTAGAACTGCACAGGGGCTAAAGGGGTTGGGATGTCTTTGGTGCCAGTGGTCAAAAAAAAAAGAGCCAGTGGGGAAGCTCTCCTTAAATATCACTTCCAAGGAGTAAATCCAACCTCCAGGCATTGAGCTGCCCTAATCCCAGTGCCACAGCCAGCACTGCTGGTCCTGGACAGGAGGAAAACCTGCACATGGAGTTGCTTTGCTCCCTCCAAACCCACCCATGGAGGGCTGCAGCTCCCAGGGCTGGAGTTTCCTGGGGGAAGCTTTGGGGATTGCAATACCCCCAAATCACAAAGGTAGTAAAAAAGCCAATCTGTATTTAGAAACTTTCCAACAGCAAAATCCACCCCTGGCTGACCCTCCGTGTTCAGGACCCACAGCTGAGGAAGGGCTGCACTGCTTTAGAGGATTGTTTAATAATAATTAGATCTTTTAATAATTTAATCATCACAGAGGTAATTTAAGAGCACCAGAGGGGAAAAACCTTCTCAGCAGGCTGGATTTGGATGTGATGGGCCAGCCCAGGCTCCCCGTGCAGGGCCGTACCTGTAGCCGTCGATGAAGCTGGCGTTGATGTAGTCGGAGCCCTCGACGCCGCGGATGGGCTGCAGGCACACCCGGGTGGTCTCGTAGGGCATGATGTTCACCAGGCGGTTCTTGAACTTGTTGCAGGGCAGGTTGGCGCTGATGAAGCGCGAGGTGTGGGCCTTGGAGTTGGCGAGGCGCTGTGGGCAGGGGGGACACTTCAGCTGGAGGCTTCTCCTGACCCTGTGCCAGCCCCTAAACCTGCTCTGCCCCTCTGTGTGCCCTCCTGGGGTTTGTTTTTGGGGGTGAGGCACAAAGACTGAGGCCTTTCCCTAAGCAAAACCTTCAGAAAACAGTACTACCACTAAAAAAGTTAAAACCCCCTCCAGTTTAAGAGAGAGCAAATTCAGTCTGGATCTGGAATGACCAGGGAAGCAGTCTGTGGTGCCAGGCAGGTCTCCCCAGGGAGCTGCATAACTCAACCATGTAAATACCTCCCACGCAGAAGCAGCAAGGTCCCACCAGCCTGGTGAAGGCTCTGTGCGACCAGCAAACCTGGGCAGGCCAGCCTTACCTTGAACTCCAGCTCCATGCCCGTGACGTGCTCCCTGGCCTCGATCTGGGCCAGTTTCTGGATGTAGCTGTAGAGGTTCCGAGCCGGGACCTCGGTGTTGCCGCAGGCCACGGCCTCCAGCAAGGCATCGTGGATGAAGCTGTACTGGTCCTCCGTCTGCACCATGTAGTTACGCTGGGACCTCATGAGGGTGACGTGCCCGTAAATGTCCACGGTCTTCTCGTGCTTGATCCTCTCCAGCATGGCGTCGATCACGATGAAGCAGCCGGTGCGGCCCACGCCCGCGCTGGGGACGAGGGGACAGGGAAGTGAGGGATTGTCCTTCCACGGGGCGGGTGCCTACTGCCCCTCCACACTGTTCTGTCCCCTCCACACTGTTCTGTCCCCCTCCACAATGCTCTGTCCCCCTCCACATTGCTCTGTCCTCCTCCACACCGCTCTGTCCCCCCTCCACATTGCTCTGTCCCCCTTCCACACCGCTCTGTCCCCCCTCCCCACTACTCTGTCCCCACCACACCGCTCTGTCCCCCTCCCCACTGCTCTGTTCCCCCCTCCACATTGCTCTGTCCTCCTCCACACCGCTCTGTCCCCCCTCCACAATGCTCTGTCCCCCTCCACACCGCTCTGTCCCCCCTCCATACTTCTCTGTCCCCCTCCACACCGCTCTGTCCCCCTCCCCAGTGCTCTGTCCCCCTCCCCACCGCTCTGTCCCCACCACACCACTCTGTCCCAGCCCCCTCCACTGTGACACCCCATGCCAGGCTCAGCTGTAGCAGCCCCAGGCTCCTACAAGGGGCTGGTAGGATCTGAAGGCTGAAAAAGCCTGTTTGATCTCTCAGATCTCAGCAGCTGAAAAACCACTGACGTTGTAATGAGTAACATGCGTCACCTCTCTCCCCCAATGTTTTTGTGCATCAGGTAACATCAGACCTGTGTGTAATGGCATTTGTGCCCCAGCAGGGCTCTGTGCTCTCTTGTGCCACTGCTAATAAAGGGTTTTCTTTTACCATTCCAGTGCTGTCCCTTTTTTCCTCGAGCCCTCTTGATCTCTGTTAATTAGACTGCCTAACACCTGAACCAAGCAGGTGACTGGAGCTTTGGCAAGAATTTAGCAGCTGATCTGGGAGCTGGTTGTGAGCTGACAGCTCTTTATTCATTTTCTGAGGTGCACAATAATTGCCATCTGCAAGGGTAGTGATAAGTTGCCCACTCACAAAGACTGTTTAAATGGCATCCTCCAGCAGAGGCAGGATTAGCTTCCCCAGCAGCCTGTACAATTCAGATCTTCCCCCAGTGCCCAGGAACCTGCAGGCTCCTCCACACCCTCCTGAGGAACACAGGGATTTATCTGCATTGAGGCTCCAAGGATTCCTCACTGGGTTGTAAATTGAATTAGGGAATGTTACCTGCCTTCAGCCTGGCATTATCAGGAAGGCTGCAGCACTCAGAAAGCCTCTGTCACTCACTGCCAGCTCTGCCTTGGGCAGCTGAGGCAGCTCTGCCTCCCAGGCACCTCCAACACCCTCTGAGGTCGCACCTGATCCTCCTCCTTTCTCATTGTGACCAGAGCCAACCCCACCACACAGAACCAGCCACTGGTACAGCACCAGGCACTTCCCACTGCTTAACAAGATCATCAAATCCCAGAATGGTTTGGTTTCAAAGGGACCCTAAAGCTCTTCCTGTCCCATGGCAGGGACACCTTCCACTAGAGCAGGTTGCTCCAAGCCCTGTCCAGCCTGGCCTGCAGGACTCAATCCAAGTGATTTGGCACAAATTACATCCCTCATCATCTCAGGAAATGCTGTGGTCAATGGAATCCCCGAGTTTCCTTCTCAGCTGCTGCCTGGGAATCCAGCTTTGGCCAAGAGCTGTCCCTGCGCCCAGGTACATCCACACCCTCCCGGATTCCCTCCCTCCCAGGTGGCCCTGTGCCAGGGGAAGGGAAGCTGTACCTGCAGTGCACCACGATGGGCCCAGCATCCGGGGGGTTGCAGGTTTTGACCCGTCTCAGGAAGGCCAGGAAGGGGGTGGGGTACTCGGGCACGCCGTGGTCTGGCCACGCCGTGAACTGGAACTGCCGCACCTCGCGCTTCTCGCTGGAGCCGTTCTGCAGCACAGGGACACGGGGCTCAGGGGACAGCAGCACCCCCAACCTGCCTGTGCTGCGTGTGCTGTGTGCCACAGCCCTGCAGTTATCCCCCCACTTATACAGGGAAGGGCAGGGGGTGCTTCAGGAGGATCCTGCTTATTAATAATGTCTGTAATGCTTATTGTTATCTTAATTTCGTTCAAGTCGAGTTGCAGGCTGGTTTGTGTTGAAGAGGACATTAAAGCTCACCCAGTGCCACCCCTGCCATGCAGAGAGAATGTTAAGAGGGAAACCCAGAGCTCTTGAGGGTGGGAATGAAGGTTTGGAAGTGGCATGAGCCTCACATCAAAGATTTATTGATCTTTTGGAATGTTGCAGCCTGAGACCCCTTTGTGACTGGAGCCTGCAGGTGCAAATAATTCAGATCATGGGACTCTTCCCACCCACTGTTCTGAGTTTTTCCCTTAAGAGAAATCCTTGAGTATTCCTGCAGTTCACCAGGAATGTTCCAGCCCATCTCCAGGGAAAACAGGAGCAGGAGCCAGCTCACCTTGTGAAGGGAGAACGTCCGCACGCAGAACGTGGCCAGTTCAATGGTGTCCAGCAAGGTCACTTGGATCATTCCGTAGGTGTCTGTGCCTCGGCCTGGCCAGTACTGGTCACACTTTATCTGCAAGACAGGAGGGATGGCTCAGTGCTGGGACAAACCCTTAATGGTGGGGGTGCTCATTCCCAAACTGCCCCCCCAAACAGGGGAAGCTGGGCTGGTGGCAAAGGCAAGGGGAGCTGCAAGAAGTGTCTTTGCAGAGCACCAGACAGGGACAAACCCATCAGAAAAAGCTCCTACTGACTAAGCACAGACTTTGATGCTACATCAATCCCACAGATAACAGACTGGAATGATCCTAAAGATTAGAGGGAATGTACTGGGGCTTGTTAAACAAGAGAACTGAATGTGAAACTTGCCACATGATTAACTCCAAGACAGACATGCAGTGGGATCCAGCAGCCTCTTCTCCTGGAGTTGCCAAGGAGGCTGCAGCTTTCCAGGGTGAATGGTTTGGTTTTTTAAAAGCAATGAATCACTGAACTTTCAGGGTGCTGGCGGAGCAGGCAGAAATCCCCCCCCTGGCTGCACATCAAAGGGATTTGCTGTTTCCCCGACTCTCCCCTCCAATCCCCCTGGATTATGACTAACCAGTCATCCCTCTCATGCATCCTACCCGTGATTTCTCCTCCAGCTTAGTCATCATGACAATGGTGGCTGAGCGCTGCTCCCACACCATCCTCCAGAAGTCCCCAAAGGTCTCTGGCAGGGGCCCCTGTGTGGCAATGTAGGCGTTCTGCTTCCGGTACCCGTCGATGTAGTTGGCATTGATGTAATCACTGCCCACAATTCCTGTGTCAAATCAGCAGAAAATCAGGGAACTGCACGGGACTTCACACAGCTTGGAAGCACGAGGAGATTTTTGCAGGGATGCTGTTAGAGAGAAGCCCCCTGCAGAAACACCAGAGCCTCCGTGGCTTGGTGGGTCAGGATGACCCAGGCTCTTGGCAAGGTTTTCCCAGGACAGGCTCCTGCACTGCAGAGAGACAGTAACTCCTTCCAAAAAGTATTAAAGAGACCAAATATCAGGCCTTGAAACTGTGGTGGTTTTACTCATGTGCTTAACAGAAGCAAAGCCCTGGCATGGGGCTCCTGCTGCATCAGTGTCCACAGGACAAACCTGAGTTCTTTTCCCAGCCTGCCCCAAGCCCAGGCAGCAAATGCACCTGGTCAATGACTGTCCACAGTCTAATCCCAGTCATTGAGCTACAGCTGGACAGAGTAAAGAATAAAGCCAGGCTTGATTTAGCCAATGAAGGCTTTGAAATTACAGGCTTTGACTCGCTGTAAATTGCCCACTGTCATTTTTAAGAGTGGTTTTTTTTCGTACTCGCATGAGTTACAGGCTATTGAGTTCCAGCTGCTCGCCTGGGTCCCTGCTTGAGGGTTTGGGATGAGCAGGAGGCACTGCCAGAGTGAAGAGGTTGATTGGGACATGGCAGGAGAAAGCTGCTCTGAAGTTAAAATGCCCTTGGCAGGCGGCACTGCCCAGGTTCAGCTCAGAGCCGGCGCCTGGCACGGAGCAGCCGCACTCCGGGCTGGTTTGGCTGCTCCCGAGCACAGCGAGCGCCTGGCAAGGCTGGCAGGATCTGCAAACCCATGATTAACTCGGTGCAGAGCCCTTCACTCCTGCTCCAGGGGAGCCAAGGCTGGGGAGCAGCACCAGTGAGGAACTGGGCTGCAGCAATCGGGGCTGCTGCTGGCGAGGGGCGAGCCCAGAGCAGCCTGCCTGTCCTCAAGGGCACTCGGGGACTTCAGCTGCTGGGAAATTGCTTTTGATTAAATTTCTGGAGGGTTCCCTACCCTTGCTCCCTCCCAGGCTGAAATTTCAGGAGGGAGAGAAGGTGGCTGCCATGGCAGAAGCGTGCTCAAGGAACTTCCAGAATTAATCTCCCCTTCAGCCCCCTAGGGTCCACTCTGTCATTTGAAATGGTGGCCATGAGCTCCTGCAAGGTTTCACTGTGTGACAGGCCCAGCTTCAGAGAAGTCACAGAATTAAAGCCACTGCTTCTTCCTGACCAAGCAGGCAGTGACAGTCTGCATCCTTGACAAATCCAGATTTAAAACAAAGAGAATGCAACAAAACTAATTCCTCCAGCTCCTTTCATCTTCCAGCCTTGAGCATAAAATAGAGCCCGGTAGGAAGGAGCACACCAGCCAAGACATGTCAGAACCTCTCAGATGCTTGAAAATTCAACCTTGGCCCATCATCCTTGCACTGTTGGTCCCTCACAGAGCCTGGGCAGAGCTGGAACTGCTGCCTGCATCCAGCCCCAGATCCAAGACCAGCCCAAGTGTCCTTCACTCCCACACTTGTGTTCTTCTCCCCTCCCTTGAATGACAAAGCAACTTTTTAAAGCCTCTGCTTTCCTTGGCTCATACAATATTAATCTCAGAATTAAACCAAGGCAGAACACAGTCAGCTTCACAAGGAGAAACATTTAAAGCCCTCTAATAGCAGACCAGAGCAATCCAGATTTGTGCAGTTTTTTGGCAAATCACCGTGCTCTGCCGCTGCCTCAGCTCTCCCCCTTCCCTGTGCCCCTCGGAGCTCCCCTGTGGCACAGGGAGATTATTTTGCAATTCCCTGGTTCCAAAGGCTTTGGAATTAACCTCTGCATTCACCAGGCAGTTACCAGGACATCCCACATCCTCTCTGCTCTGATGATCAGCTCTTGGCAACGCAAGACTGGCCTTGAACGCTTTATCCACCCAGCACAGCCACATCCTGAGCCCATGAAACTCCAACTTTATCTCAGCAGCAGCAACCCAAGCAGGTGCCCTGTTCAACTCCATCTCAAGCCCCTCTTATCCTGGTGTGCACTGGAGCAGCTCTGTCAAGAGCCATGAGTTGTGAAATTTAATGTAAATTTTCTGACTGCACCATCGCTCACATAAGCAGCTCAGGAAACAATTTACAACCAGGCTTGCACTAACCCCTTCTTATCCCAAGCCTTTTTTAGGGGCCAGGGCTGCAGCAGGGGCTGCATATCAAGTGATCTTTGTGCCTGTACAACTCAGCAGCCACATCTCTGCTGCTGCTGCCTCTCACATTTCCACAATCAGCCCTGGGCTTCTTTCCCATTCCTCCCTGAGCAGCCCCGCTCTGCGTTCCAAGCCACCCTCTTCTGCTCCCTCTAAAGCACTATGTGGTCTGAATTCTTCCTGTTAGTCAGAGATGTATCAAGCAGACATCTCCAAGCAAAGGAAAGGCAGTTTCTTGATAAACCAGCCCTTGATATGAGGAATTGCACCTCCAGAGGAATATGCCAGTCACCAGAATTTAACAAATGCCTGTTACAGAGGTGTCTCCTGCTTGCCAAACTCCCAGGGAGACGTTAAGAGAAGAATATAGAGATGAAAGAAGAGTGTGTGCAATGTGTTCCCTGCAGGAGCTCCATCGCAGCAGTGCCTGGAGGATGGGGGTGCTCCATACCTTCGATGGGCAGCAGGATGACCCGGGAGTGGTCGTAGGCGATCACGTTCGCGTAGCGGTTCTTGGGCTTGTTCACTTCCAGGTTGGAGTGCTCCCAGGTGAACTGCTGGCCAGGGTCGATGGACTGGAGGGATTGGGAAAGGAAACAGGAGAGTCAGTGAGGAGAAAAGCAGCAAATGCAGTTCTGAGCACTTGTTCCACGTGGCTCTGCAGGTCTCGCCGAGCGGCGCAGCGATCGCCGTTTGCAAGAGCGCAGCTTTGCTGTGGGAAAGCCCCAGCCCTGTGGAACAGCTGATGTCCCATCTCCCCTGGCCCCAAGTGGCATATCTGAGGTCATTCCCCCTCTGGACTCAGCACCAAAGGTTTCCCAGTGCAATGGGGAGGAAGCCCCACAGGAGCCTGGCAGGGGTAAGAGTGCATCCCCCAGCACAAAACAGGGGTAAGGACCCTGGCCCTAGGACACTCAATCAATATGGATTTTTCCTAGAAGGGATGAAGGAATAAACAATGAAATGCACTGGAGAGAAAAATCCCCTCTGCCCGTCCTAGTGATTTATGCCAGGTTTGGTGGTCGGGTTTTTTTTCCTCTCTGAAGTCCAGCTGTCCCAGATATGGAAATTAGGTTAATTACGTTTACCTCTAAATCCTCAGCCAGAGAATTAAATAAAACAAGGGCTTAATTCCTTCATCATTTTGCAGAGCCCTTGGGGTTTGCCTCAATTGGAGGCTTGGCAGGAACGTGCAGAGCTGTGTTTGCTGCTGCTTGCTCTGCCTCTGGCTGCCACCCTTTGGGGACAGGGTCCCAGATCCCAGATCCACCCCTCTGAGCCAGCCCTTGCCCAGCCCCGCTGCCCTCCCTGCCTGTGCCCACCCCAGAGCTCCCCGGGCACAGCTGGTACAAAACCATCCACAGAACAGCTCCGAGCTTCAGCACTCTGGCTGTGGAGAATTCCTAACTAATGGGTATTTATACTATTGTAATGTGTCTGTTTGCTCTCCATCCCTCTAATCATGCCTCGCCTTCACTTCATTAGCGATGTTTGTTCAGCTCTGGCTCTCCCTCTGGAGGAGGTTGGGCTGGCTCACAGCCAGGGCACTCGGGATGTGGCATTATGCAGATCAGCCTCTGGAATCTGGATGGAGCACAGAACGAGCTGCTGCTGCTCTTTCCACCCAGCGTGGGAGGAGAGACCCAAGCAGAGCAAAATGTGCCTTTTCTAAGGTGTGACCCCTGCTCAGGGTGCCTGGTGATATCCAGGAGTCAGGGCAGGGAAAAAGCATCCCTTTGTTTGGAAAACATCCCCTCACTCCCTTCCTGCAAACAGACACAGGCAGTCTAGACTCCTATTAGGCTAAAAATATCAGGGCATTTGATTGTCTTTCAACAACAAAACCAAGAGTGGAGAGAGGTTTTTTACAAGGGCATGAAATGATAGGACAAAGGGCTTTAAACTGACAGAGGTTTTAGGTTGGATATTAGGAAAAATTCCTGCCTGTGAGGGTGGGGAAGCTCTGGCACAGGTGCCCAGAGCAGCTGTGGCTGCCCCTGCATCCCTGGCAGTGCCCAAGGCCAGGCTGGATGGGGCTTGGGGCACCCTGGGCCCGTAGAAGGTCTCTGCTGATGGCAGGAGGGGCACTGGATGGGCTTTAAGGTGCTTCCAACCCAGACCAGTCTGGGATTGAGTAACCAAACACTACCAGGATAGGGAAAACGTGCACAAACCCCTCAGACATGACAAGGGAGCACAAACCATCCTGTTTTCCCATCTTTAGCTCCATGGCTGCTGTGGAGAACTCTCTGCTCATCTCACCCAAGCTCGGCTGTAAAAACTGGGTGTCACAGTCTGGCTCTGCTCTGTGTCCAGCAGCAAGTCATGGGCACCCCAAGGACAGCTCCCATCCCATCCAGCAGTCCCCTCCAGGACTGCATCCCTTCCCTGAGGGAGCTCAGCCTCTGCTGACCCAACAGGAGCTCATGGACCAACCTCTTTCTTTTTATGAACTAGAACTGAACCCAGAAAAGCTCCCAGCAAATACTTAGTTTCCAATACATAAATAGCTTTTAAATTTCAGCTAACCAGGTCTTTAAAATGAAGCTGTTCATTCAGATGAAGTCCTGTCTGAATTCCCTAATTCCTGGCTCTGCAAACCCATGCACAGCACTCGCTCTTGCCCATACCTCATACTCTTGGGATAATTTCAGGTTATCATTAGCTTTGAGATGCTCTGTGTGTTCAGCCAGCTCAGAAACGGGGATGGGTGGGTGGCTGAGCATACCTAAAAGACAAGACAGCAGGAAAAGGATTGCATTTAATAATAACTAAAATTCACAACCGTTGCGCATTTTATAAGAAAGAAGGAACAAGAAAAGAAAATAAATTACAATGTAAGATCTGCAATGAAAGTAGGGAGGTTAGAAGAGAAGAATTCAGGGCTCGAAATTGTGTCCTTGGAAGTAAAAAATAAAAATCAAGGAAATAAAAAAAAATAACAGTAAAATGAGAGTGTTCCCGTGATGGCCCCATTTTCAATGTGGAGATCAGAGCAAAACAAAAAGGAAAATCCGAGGAGCAGATGCGTGTTAGCGATTCCAAAGTGGACTTGGAATGAGCAAACGCTGCCAGAGGAACCGACGCAGCAAATGGCACAGCACCCGCCAGGACCAGGAACCAGCTCCAACAGAAAGGGAGGCAAGGGCAGGATCCAGCCAACCATGGAGATGTGGGCAGGAGATGGGAATATGCAGATGGGGGGAAGCAGGGGAGGCTTTTCAGGAACTGCACTTGATGATCTTGAAGGTCTTTTCCGACCTCAGGGATTCTCTGGGTTGTTTTTTGCACAACGTTGCCTCTGGAAGTTCTCGGTCTGCTCATGGACACTGAGCTCTGACCTCCACCATCCCCAGGTTGCAGCCAGGCCTGGAAGCACCCAACAGGCTCCTCTTCCCACTCCTGGCTGGTGGGTGATGTTCCTTCTACAGCACAGCCCTCCCTCCAACAGCTTTGGGGCTGCGCTGGCCCTGTCCAGGCTCTGCTGTTGTCACTTTTTGGGATGGACAGGCAGGAGATCCTCCTCAGGCAGGGGGATTGTGGCTGATGCCCCTGAGCTGGTTCAGCTGCTGCCCCTGCAATCCCCCTCAACACTTTGGGGTGCTGGTGTAGAGGCAGCCAGAGAACTCACTGGAGCCACACTGGGACGTCCCAGGGGTCGGACTGGTCCAACTGGGGCACATCTCAGCCACCACTGGAGTGAGCAGCCATGGCTGACTCAGTTCTCAGCCTGGGATTTGCACATCCTGCTCTGAAAGGAGCTCTGGGAAGAGCAGGGGCCCTTCCCTGCTCACAGCTCTCCAAAGGCTACGCTGCAAACCCAGGAGGAAAAGCGCTCCGTGCTTTGCTCATCTGCATCGGATGATGTTTTTCCAAAGGCTTCCCATGCTTCTCCAGCCTCTCCAGGGGCTTGGAGAGCAGCATTCTGAGAAGCCCTGGGCAGTGCCCCCGATGAGAAGGACAGGAGTGGAGAAGAGATGGAAGCCAGGGAGAATTTCGAGCCCCGTGGGTGTTTGGTGGGTGACAAAGCAGCGGCGTGGCAGCGGCATGGTCAGATACTCTGAAAACTCAGCACAGAGATGGCAAAGCAAGCATGACATCCTCAGTTTTACAGTGATTTGGGACAGGTGCTGCTTCCCCCAGGCCTGGGCATGGGATGAGTCTGCCAAACCTGGACAGGTTTCTCCTAAGCTCACCATGCATCTATTTTCAGCACAAGGAAATACGGCTGAAAATAGATGAAGAGGGGAAATATACCAAAAAAAACCTCACAAAAATAACCCTGAACTATCCTGGGGGTTGTGCTGGCTCCATTTCAGCCTGCTAGGATCAGGGCAGGAAACCTCTCTTGGTTTATGGAGGAAAAAGTTCCATTTTAGTCTCTTGTTGTCCTGTCCCATCCCACCTGGAGGAGGGTTATTTCTCCACCTGGGTGGAGGGGGGCTGCCATCCACCCCAGCACCAGAAGCAGATCGGGGTGTTGGGAGGAGCTGGTCCTCTCTCAGTGTGGGATGGGGAGACCCTGGCTGAGATGTTCCAGATCAGACCAAACCAGCTTAACACCACCAACACTTGATGGACATGTAGGTTAAGAGGAGAAAATAAATAATCTGAAACCCCAGTAATAACAAGTAAGAAAAACTCCAGATCCTCCTTGGCTCAGAAGTCATGGAGCAACATGAGCAACAACCTCTGAGCCAGTGGGCTGCATGGGAAAAGCCCACTGTGCCAATCTGGAATGAGGACTCACCTTGCCCTTGAAGGAATTTCACAAGTTTCCTTCACAAAAGCTCCAGGAAAATCCCAGAGTGTGACCAGCAGCTCTGCCCTTTGCTGGGGGTCATCCTGCTTCCCCTCCAACCCTCCCTGCACAGAGCCTGGCTGGCAGCACTTGGGAACTCGCCTTGTTCTGCTGCTGTTAAGGACAGAAACTCCTCATGGGATCATTTTCTAAGGCTCTTTGGAATAAAAGAACCTCTGCAGCAATAAACACTTCCCTGGTCAAAATGCCAAGTGCATGGGGTTTCTTTCCAGTAGGATCCAGGAGTTTGCTGTGAAACGAGGCAGGAGTGGCACTGCCTCAGCTCAGCTGCTCTTCTCTCCTTTAATTCAGGAACTCATCTGGGGGATGAAGGGCTGAGTTCAGCCAGGAAAACGCCCACAGCCCCTCCGTTACAATGAGGGGGGTCGAGGGGACAATTGTGACATATTCCATACCAAAGAGAACAATATTTGGATTGAACTATTCAGGGAAATTTCCCAGCCCTCACATCACTGAGCACAGGCAGCATCTGTGACTCTTCACGTTTGTCAGCTGAAACCTCACATCCTTCCCTGCCCAGCATTAAAAAAAAAAAAAAGAAATCCAAGCCCATACCACCCAGCAAGGCTGGGATCTTGGCTCCTAATGGGATGAAATCTTTTCGAGCCAGTCTCATCTAACATTTCAATCACTTGAATCTCTCTAATCTTATCACAAAAGACTTGATTCTCTGTGCACCAGCCAAGTCGCCAGAAACGTCACCCTAACATCTGCTCTGTGGGCCAGAGCCCATTTATCCTGCAAAATCACCGTGGCTGGAGGCACTCCTGTGAAATCTGGGGTGGCCTCTGGTCTTTGTGCTCCTGGAACAGCTGGGTGCCAAGGAGCAGGCACCTGCCACAGCTGGGAAACAGCCCCTTCCCCCTCGGAATGAAAAGGTGCCTGTGTGGCTCTTTCAGCTGCAGCTCCAGTTTCTCTTTCCCTGCATCACAAACACCAAAGAACAACCCACCAGTGACACCAGTGCACAGTACAGGGGACACTGAGGACACTGAGGCAAGCACCAGTGATGGAACATCTTCCACGGGGGGGAAAGGCAGCCCTGGATCCTCCTGGGACAGCGAGGGGTGGATGGGAACCCAGCTGCTCCCCGTGTCCTCCAAAGGGCTCTAAGGGGAAACTGTAAAACTGGAAGCACAGTTCAGACACACAGATGGCACAGAAAAGGGATGAGATGGGCAAACACTGCAGGAACACGGAGAATTCGGCAGAAAAATCAAAAAATAGTAACAGGAACGGAACAAGAATTGGAAAGGAAAGTGATAGAAGAGGAAAATAATAATGGGGGGAAAAAATGAAACCAACAGGAACAAAAACACACAGGAACTAACTTTCCAAGTCAAACTCAGGGTCACTGAGAGGGCTGCTCAGACCAGAATCTGCAGAAAACAGTAAAAAATAAATAAATAAAAGATACACTTTTGTAAAAATTTCATGCTAATAAAAAAACAAAAACCAACATAAATCTAAAGAGGAAAAGAAAGGGTTTTTTTTTGTGCTGATTAGGACAGGATATCTAAGATGTGCTATGCTTTCCCCTCTCTGAGCTGCACATTCCCATTCCCATGTACCTCCTCTGTTTCACTGCTGGGGACACGATGGAGATTCTACCTGGGGTCATCTGGAGAGGAATACAGGCTCCTTCTGAACCACAATATATTGAATTTAAATGCCTTTAACTCAGAGAGCACCTGTGGACTCTTCCCCTGCAAACAGCACCACAACCTCTCCATCACCACCAACACACTCCAAGCTCATTTATCCATCCATTTCCATTTTTACCCAATGTTTCCAAAATTCTGTGGGAGGCAGGTGATCAACTCCCCCAAATACTTTAAAACCTTTTAGTGCTTAATAAATTATAGAGCAGAGTAACACCAGGTAGGTCAACTCTGGCCAGACAGATTTGGTAAGGAAAGAATCTCCTAAAGGCAGACTGGACACAGGAAGTGTGTTTTGGGATCTGCAGAGCCTTAATGCAGGTCTTGATGTCTCAGCTACCCTTTAGAAACCTCCCAGAGGCAGAATTCCGAGGTACAGCATGACCAAAGCAGTGGGGTCAACAAAAGACTGACTCCATTGATCCCATTACCTGCTGGAAGCACCCTCAGCTGACTCTGCTGTCCTGTGGGACACAAAACCTCCCACTCAGGGAAACACATGAACCAGCCCTTCCAGCTGCTTCTTGGCACCAAGACCAAGCTGGAAGGCCACAACCTTTTGTTTTCATCTCAGCACAGTCTTTTCATCTGAGAGAGTGAAGCTCCTTCTTTTGGGTTGCCCAACTCCCTCCACCTGGAGCACCCACAGAATGGGGTGCTCCAAAAGAAGCACCCAGACAAGGGCAAACTGCTGCTGAGCTGCAGCTGGGAGCACTCAAAAGATCTCCCCCACCTTCACTCTCCTGCAAGAGCAGCACTAAGAGCTGATTTAGGGACCTACCTGTGCTCTCCCTGGAGTGAACCTGCTGCCATCCCTCAACTGAGCATTGTTCCTAAGCCTGGGCTGATCCCAACAGGTGATTCCTACCTCATTTTGGGAAGAGCCCCTCAGCTCAGCACTGCCTTTGTGCTTCCCCTGCTCTCTGTCCCTGCTGCCAGCCCCACCCTAAGGAAATTTGACAATGCTAAGGACAGGACTGGGATGGGAAGGGGAAACAGGAGCTACAGAAACATTACTAACGAGCACAAACAGAAAAAAAAAAAATACAAACAAACTGAAAACAACAGCCAGCCCCCAAAAAGCACAATAAATTCCCTTCCAAATCCTCCAGCACCAAGAAGTTGGAGGCAGAGGCGTGGACAGGCACTGGGTCAGCATGGCCAGGTGCCCATCGGTGAGAGGATGTGCCAGGTGTGTCAGTGGTGCTGCAGAGGTGCCATGCAGGCAGCTGGGACATGCATGGACATGGGGACACGTGTGTGCAGGAGGGAGGGAGGTGCATGGAGCCTCTGCCCAGCTGCTGGCCCAGCCCTGGCAGTGCCCAAGGCCAGGCTGGACAAAGCTTGGAGCAGCCTGGGGTAGTGGAAAGTGCCTGCCCATGGCAGGGGGTGGAACTGAGTGGGCTTTAAGGTGCTCCCAACCCAACCCAGTCTGGGATTCCATCACAGCACCTGCACCAAGCGAGGAGATGCTGCCTCACCTGCACCAAGCAGCCAGCTCCTCTCCCCTTGCACAGCCCACGGGGCAGGCCTGGCTGCCAGCTGGGGTGGTTTGGCACCAGAAAGCACCAGTTCCAGGTGTGGCTGGAGCACTGGGTGCTGGGCAGCCTGCCACACTCCAGCTCCCCACCCAGGAGCTCCCAGCTGGGGCACAGGGCAGCACTGGTGCTCTGGCGTGTCTGGCACAGCCATGGCGCTTGCAGCTCAGCTCAAAATGCACCAATTTCTCTGGAAATCCAGGAAAACCCTTCTTGTGCCTCGCCAGCACTGGGCACAGCCTGTGCAAGGTCTTTGAGGATGCCAGCAAAGGCTTCTTTCAGCATCCCCACTTAGCACAGACAAGCTGGGGCTCCTTGGCTGTGCCCAAGGGCAGCACTGGGTCTGCAGGCAGTGCCCAGCAGGCAGGAAGGGCTCAGGGAAGGGGCAGGTGCCCCCTCCTGCCTTCCCAGCAGGACAGGCTGGTCAGCAGCTGCTTACCTGGAGTCTGGAAGTTGATTCTCCTCATTTCCACGGGGTCCTTGGGGTGGTGGGGGGCAATCTCAGCGTTGTTCAGGAGGCACTTGGTCCGTGGCTCGGAGTCTTTCCGTTTGCTTCACAACAAAAAGGAACAAAAGAGACCAGAGAGAAAAAGCAGCTTAGCTTCTGGGCCTTGTGGGCTCAGCTACTTCTCAGCTACTCGTGTTCAGGCACGAGCAAAGCTCCCACAGAAAATCAAAGGTGCAGCCAAGGGTGTAAATACATAGAACACATCAGAAAAGGGATGATGTTTGGAAAGCCTGGCAGTGTTTTAGGGGTTGACAATGGCCTGGGAGCCCCTCAGCAGCTTTCAGGTAAGTCTGGAAGTTCCCCCCTTCTCCCAGCAGCAGCACAGACTGGCAGCCAGGAGCAGCTGAGGTGCTGTGAACTCATACCTCACCCTCCCTGCTCAGAGCAGCCTCCACTGAACTCTGCAGAGCAAAAAAATGTTCCAACTCTGGCCAAGCCATTTCCAGCCTGAGACAACCAGAGCCAGCAGAATCGTTTGGAAAAGTACAGAATCTCCTGCCCGTGACCTTGCACGTCGAGCTCTGATATTGCTGTTGGCTTGCTCAGGAGCTCTCAGAGCTGCCCTGCTGCAGACAGAGAAGTCAGAGCAGCAGTTTTCAATCTTTTTTGAACTGCAGAACCCTAAAAATCTGGGTTCAACAAACAGTGTAGACACATCCTCTCCCAGCACAGCTGTGCCTGCTGAGAGCCACCTCTCCTTGCCAGGTGCCAGAGCCTGCTCCAACCCGCCAGCTGAGCTGCACATGGAAGTGCTTCCTAATATATTTCCCTCCAAATGGGCTAGGTTAGCTTAGGCAGCTGAAAAAGTCTTTGCTGACCTGGCTCATTCTCCTTGAAGAGAATTTAGAAGCAAAGCCCAGTGCTGACCTAAAGATGTGGTAACTCCTTGCAGAGAAACAGTGAAGAGCTGCTGGGAGCTGAACTTCTCCAGAGAGCAGAAAATGTGGCCCCCACCCTGAGGCTTGGAAAGGTGGGGTCCCCTTCCACGAGGGGCTGTGGAGCTCCTCACCCCTCCTGCTCAGGGTGCACAGAAGCCTCCAATAAATTGCCTGCAGCAGCAATGACAATCACTTAGGCAGAGAGGAGGTTATTCAGGACATTTTTAGCTGTCTCTTGATGTCATTAATAGCCAGAAGAAGTGGTCTGAGCCCTGCCAGCACTGCATGGGGCAGCATTTTGGAATGACACCACTTTGCAGTTTGGGAGCAGTTTATTTCTGAAGCTGCTGTTAACAGTTCACGGACTGAACCCATCAGTTACTTCCAGTGAAAGCTCTTCCAGCCTTGGAAATGGTTGGGGAAAAGTCTCATTGCTGCAGTCATAAACAGCCTCTGTCAAAAGCCCTTGGCTGAGGGGCAGGAGCAGCTCCTGCCATGGGACAAGGGAGCTCAGCTGGTGAGAATCCTGCTTGCAGCGTGCCACTGGCTCAGGGACAGCCCGTGTGGAGCAGCCAGACAGAAACCCACTTTCACCTCTGACTGCCACACAAATGAGAGCTTCTCTGCTCCATTAACCCAGCACTTTATGAGCCATTTACTGTCACTGCTGCTCAACCTGAGAAAGGGCCGTTTTATTTAGGAATGGACAAACAGGAGAACACTGGGCTTGCTTTGCCTTTTCTGCCCCAGTTCAAACATAATCCCAGCTAGTCTGACATGGGGTTTCTGTGAGGACAGATTTAGAGGTGGGAACAGCACCAACAAAGCCCCAACACCACACAGCAAACCCTGCTTAACACACAGCAAGCAAGAACCTGAATAAATGGCAAAAGTGGTGCTCTTACCTGTCTGGTTTGCTGTCCAGGGAAGCAGTAAGTGGAGAGAAGACAAGACAAATGCTCAGGTTAGAAAGGACTTGCAGAGGGAAGGGGAAGCATTTGCTCAGCTCTAACCCTGGCAGCAGAGGTGGGACCAGCAAAGATCACCCAGCCAGAGGGACACCAACCAGGACCCCTTGAGGGGTTAGGACCCCTAACCCTAACCCTTGAGCCCCTGCCCAGAGCAGCCTCACATGCTGGAGTGCAGAGGCCACACTCCTGTGCATAAGGGAACACCCCTGTGCAGGTCAAAGGTGGAGCAGGGCTAGGAGAGCTCCCCCCACTCTGGGAATGAGCTGTCCCAGCTAAGGACATCTCTGCTGGCCATTGCCACCTTTATTTACCTTGCTCAGCCCTGCTTCCCCTCCTGTCCCCTTCCCTTGCCCTGTGTGTGTGCTCAGGGGACCCTCAGCTCTCAGGCTGCTCAGAAAGTCAAGGGAAAGGGAGACACACCCAGGGGTTTTCCCTTCTCTCTCCTGAAGGCTCACACCCTGCTCCTGCATCCCAGCTCCAGCAGAAAACCACTCTGAGAGCAGTGGAGGTCTCTGCTTCCCACAGCTCAGGGGTGCCTCCCCTGCATCCCCCCACTGCCCACAGGGAGCAGGGAAAGGGGCTGAGGCTGAGTCCTGACACACTGACTGCCAAAGGAGTGTCTGTGGGACAAGCACAGCTTTCCTGGCAGTGCCATGGGGCACAGTCTGCAGCAGCAAATCCCTGCAACCCCCTGCTGAACCCTCCTGCGCTGGGCAGACTCTCCCATTCCAGCCTTTGTGCCTCAGGGCTTCTCTCTCCAGTGCCCAAGGAAGGATTTCCCCTCAGCTGAGCAGGACAAAAATCCCCTTTAGGGCCCCCTGGGGACACTCAGAACCATCCCAGGAGTGGGCAGTGAGCAGCTCTTACTTTTTGTAGAGCAGGATGGCGATGACGATGCAGATGATGAAGACCACGGCCAGGACGGGCCCGATGACCCAGATGAGCCCCTCCTCCCCATCAATGATGGGCTGGGGGTCAGGGTTGTCCAGCTGGATGGGGTCAGAGAAGGGACTGGCAGCATAAGTCTGGAAGACAGGGAACAGGGTGGAACACAGCTCAGAGTGAAACGTATATTTTAAGGAATTTAGAGATTTTAGAGGAGCTAAGATTTTAGTCAGAGATAAGCCTTACTAGAGTTGATTAAAATAAATGAGTAGGCCGTGATGAAGTTAAGAGTTAGTAGTTAACTAATAATTGATTGCTTGTCAGCACAACGTTTAGTTAGCTGGGTTAATAATGAAGAATATAGAAACTGGCAAATAGCTTTTAGGAACATAAGACAATTGTTGGCCTCCTCTGTTCTGAAGCCAATTGAAGACAAGGAATGGGAGTTCTACCAAGAGTTCATTTGTCATATTTGCATTGAAAAGGTAGAAAGGTCAGAATGAGGAAGATTTCATTTACTTCCTCATTTTGGGAAGGGACCACCGACCCATTTCAAGGAACAAACTACGCATGCTGAATGGCTTTTGAAATGATTCGCATACAAAGCCAGGAATGGGATGTACCAAAATGATGAATATGTATTTGTATTTTGGGTATTCAATACTTGTATAGATAAAAGGGCTCTGTAATCACCTGAGAGGTGCCGTGTGCATTTGGGAGCGATCCCACACACAATAAACACACACTTTCTAACTTTAAACTGTTAGAGAGTTTTTGTCCGTCGCAGTTGGATATCGGTACTAGATAAATATCTATATTTTTTTAATAAATCAAGAGATGGGATGGGGGCTGGAGAGTGGGCAAGTGCCCGATATTCCACAGGAGGAACTGCTGGAGAGGATGTGAGCTCTCTGCAGCACAACCCAAATGGTGACAGGAAAAATGCCCTGCTCCTGGGCATCCACATGAGGGGTATCTTCCACTTCCAGTGCTCCAGTGAGACACAGCATGGAAAAATCACACTCATGTGAAGCTGCAGCCTGCCCTGAGCCTGTCGCACCCCTTCTCACGCTTTTAGAGATCCAGCTGCTTCTGTTCCACCACTGCCCTGAGCCTTCACCACTGCCACTAACACATAAACACTTTCCCCAAGCTCTCATGTAACCATCTGGATTTTGACAGTCAGAGGGGATTACAGGGCAAGAGGGAAGGGATTAAAACAAGAATTAATGCTTGGTCTGGTGACTGAAAAAAACCAAGCCTGACAAATAAATGCAAAGTAGTAAAACACTGTGTGTGTCCTCTGCTGCCTCTGCTCTGAGCTGTGTTCTTGAGGAGCATCAGAGGCACATTCAAACGCTTCAGAGTTCTGATTAAGGATGAATTCTCATCCTACACAGGAACTCCAGAAACTGAACAGCACAGAGAACTGGCATGGCCTGGTTTGGGAGAGCAGGCAGGGACAGGACAAGAACAGGGGCTCTGGGTCCTTGAACTCCATCGGCTCTGAGCAGGCTGGAATGCTGCTCCACACTCAGGAGCTGCTGTGGATCCAGGCCACTGGGAATGAGTCTGCAGCATCTTGTTCTAAAGCAGAAATTACCTCAAGCTGCAGTAATCCGATTGAGAAACCCATTCAGGAGCGTGTCAGCCTAATCCTTTAATATCAAATACACAAGTAAATATTTATTGGGGGAGAAAACCTCTGAAAACCCTTAATTTCCAGTAGCTCCCTGCTACAATTCCATAGGGGGATTTAAAAACAACAAAGTATTAGTCTGTTTGCCATTGTGTGTGAGGGAGGAGGCAGGTAAATATTAAAATAGTTGTTTTCATAAAGCCAAGTACAGCCCCAGTGAAAACAGCAGAGATGCTGAATTGGTAGAGAGAACTTGTAGTTTTCCATAAAAAAATGCTCCCCTCTGTGCTTGGAGAGGAACTTAGCAATGCCCAGAGTGTGACATGCTCTTGGAGCAGGATGTCTGGGGTCATTGCTCTGAGGAGTTAAAGAACAGCCTTTAAAGGAAATTACTGTTCAAAAAGGGGTTTCACCCAGGGCTCTCTGAACTCATGTGCTGTCCTGAGGGGATAGTTCGGTGTTCCTCCCCATTCTGGACTCCAGTCTGGAGCCACAAGCGTACAAGGTCTGTCCACAAAGACTGGGACAGTCACAGCTCCTCTTGTCCTTGCTGCTTGGAAGAGACAAATGCAGGCACAAGCAGCTCATCAAGCACAAGAGCCACATCCCAAAGCTCCACAACAGCTGGAAAGAAAAACCCCTCAAGGCTGCCAGGAGGGCAGCAGGGCTGTGGCAGCTCCCAGGGAGCACAGAGGGCGGGGGAAGCAGGCGGCACTTACAGCCTCGGGTTCCTGCAGCACGGCCAGGATGAAGAGCACATATTTCTGCCCTGGCTCCAGGGCTCTGTTCTCGAAGTTGTCATAGTGTTTCATGTCCCCCAGGATGAAGTGGGAGGGCAGGGAGCGGAAGCGGGCAGCGATGTAGGGCTTGGGGAAGTCCAGCTGCCGCGAGTGCCGCAGGCTCCGGCGCCGCAGCCTGGCGATGTCCTGGATCAGCTGCAGGGAGCACAGAACACCCTGAGACCCTGGCAAGGAGCAGCAAGGAAACCCAAACCAGCCCTCCCAGCTAGGCTGCCCTCAATGAGGAGCACAGGTACCCCAAATCCCCCTCCCAGCCCTCAGGTCCCCATCCCATTCCAGCTGTTCTTTCTCCCCCTGAGCTAAGTCCAGTTTTACCCACACTCACCTCCTCCAGGTCCATCTCCTCAGGGCTGCCCAGGGGGTTGAGGAACTGTCCTCCCCGGGACTTCCTCAGAGGCACCACCACAATGTAGAAAGCTCTAAATGTTGGGAATGATAAAATAAACCAGAAGGAATTAGCCATGGAAGAAGGGAGCGCACACACTGATGTGAGTTTGCCCAAACTGCCCCACTGGTTCAAGCCCCTTATTTTTCATTCAGCACAGTTGCTGCTCCTGGAAAAAGCTGGATTCAGTGGCAGCCCCATGTCTCCTTGTGTACTCCCTTCACACTTCTTTGGCTTTCCCTGTTAGTTGTGGAAGTGACTCCAAAAGGCTGGAAACACAGGGATCACCCTCCTGGTACTGCCCCCGGGGGTTTGTGGTGTTCTCCAGCCATCTGACCCCCCAAAACACGAAATGAGCACCCCACCCCTGCAGTTAAACAGAAACCTACTGGATAGGCACATGGCTCTTCACGTCGGGGAGGATCACCACCACGTTGCCATCAGCATCAGCCTTGTGGGTCACCTCTGGCTTCTTGGACAACATGTCAGCAGCAGTCCAGGCTGCCACGTTCTGCTGCAGCCCCCCCATGCTGTTGCCCTGGTTCATCAGCACGAAGTTGTAGAAGGTGCGGGGCCTCAGGTGGGTGATGAGTTTCTTGGTGGTCCGTCCGTCCACGTCGACGTGCAGCCCATTGTACTGGATCTGTTGGAGGGCAGGAGGTTGTTCCCTGAGCAAGGCTGGTGCTGCTCCAGCTCCTTCCTCCCCATCCCTTTGGTTTGCAGGGAACACCCAGCCCTGCAGAGCTGGGGCACACATGGGAAAAAAACTCCTACACTCCACTTGCCTTGTATGGGGTAGGAGAGTTGTAATTCTCAGGGAACTCCCAGCTCAGAAGGACAGATGTCTTTGTCACCATCTTCACCTTGAAGTTTTTGGGTAAAACTGCGGAGAAAAAAGTGAGGAGGAAGGGGAGAAAGGAGAAGAAAAGACAGCAGAGGGAAGGAAGAGCAGGAAAGAGAAGGAAGAGAATGTCAAGTGCTGGAAGAGGGGCCTGCCAGGCTGGGTCTGGCTGCGGCTGCAGGAGCTGAAGGGATTGCTCCCTCCTCCACTGTGCTGCAGTTTTGCCAAGGTCCATCTCCCAGTGCTCCCTGTCCCCATGCCTAACCCCAGGAGGGCACGTGGCTCTGCCCCCACACTCTGGGCCTGGGTGGCTGCTGCAGGAACGAGGTGCTGCCTGGCTGAGCATGCTCAGGTGAAGAAAAACCCATCCCAGGTCACGGCTCGAGGGTTTGTTTTTTTTTTCAAAAAATTTGTGCTCTTTTTCTTTTGTCTGTTTGCAAAAGCTGAAGAAAATGCTCTTCCCACCTGTACAGCGACTGGCCCCCCACTTCAGGTGCCAGTGACAGAAGGTGTCCGGACTTAACTTAGAAGAAAGTGGTAAAAGGGACTTACCTGGCACAAGGCAGAGAGGAGCGGAGGGACTGAGTGTGACACCAGAGTGCTTTGCATTTACTCACGAGCCTGGCTGAGCCTGGCCTGACCTCTCCAGCTCTCTTGCCTCCCGGCACCAGCCCCGGATACAAGGGGAGAGAGGGAGGAGAAACCGGTGAGTCCTACCTTGGTCCAGCTGGAACGTCCGATACTGGACGGTCGGGCTGTAGGGCCCGGGGCCTTTACTGGTGTGAGCACGGATTTTAACATCATAGGCGGTGTTGGGTTTGAGGCCGTTGAGGGTGTACGAGTTCTCTGGGGAGGGGGGCAGGTCTTTTTCCAGCAGGTTCCCGGGAGAACCGGCTTCCCGGTAGGCCACGGTGTATTTGACGATGGCTCCGTTCCTCTCGGCCAGCACGGGGGGCAGCCAGCCAAACTGCACCGACATGGACGTGACGTTGCTCGCCTCCAAGATTTGGGGGTAACCCTTGGGGATGTCTTCGGGGGTGGTGAGTTCCTGCACGGCTTCCTCCCCAAAGCCAGCCCGGCTTTTCACGGCCAGCTTGAACACGTACGTGGCGCCCTTGTGGATGCTGGGAGCGATGTACTTATCCTCCAGCGCTGAGAATTCCAAGGTGGCCAGAGGCTCCACGTCCTTGCGGCCAAACTGGAGCCGGTAGCCCAACACCTGGCCCTCCGCATCCAGCGGGGGCTCCCATTTCACCAGCAGAGTGTTCTCCTCTGTCTGGTGCACAGACAGGATGGGCTTTCCTGGGACTAGGAGAGAAGAGAGACACTTTCAGCCAAGGCTGGGGCAGGGGAGAGGAGCTGCAGAGACTCTTCAGCTGCAGCAATAAGTTCCTTGAGTCAGCAGCGATGTTCCAGCTGGGCTCCGTGGAACCCAAACTGCTGCCACCCTGTACAGGTGGATGGGCCCTAAACAGTTTGGGAAATGAGGAGCACTGCCAACCTGTCAGCCGTGAGCTGCTGACACATTCCTAAATTTATTCCCTTTGTTCAGGATGGAAAGATGTGCACAGCTCCCCCCTGTCCCTGGACCCCTCACCCTCCCATTGCTGGGAAGAACAGACTCAGGAGTCCTGACTCCCAGCCTCCTGTCCCAGTTAATTCCCAGGGCAAGGAAAAAGAAACCTGGAGCCCCCAAAAGTCCCAACCTCCCTCCCTCTCTCCATTACACAGCCCAACTCATGCAGAAAGAGACTGGAACAGATTGGCCCAGGCTGGGGAGTCCAGAACAGCTGAGGGTGAAGCAATGAAGGATGGAAGGAAGTCTGGGCAGCCCCAGGTCCTGAGCAGCAGGCACAGGGCCAGCTCACACGGCTGGCAGGCAGCTCATCGCCTGCTTGGGTACAGAGGGAAGCACAGGCAGAGGAACCAGAGCCCAAAATGTGTGTGAGGCAGAGGGCAGGGAGAGCTGCTGCTCTCCCTGTGCTGCTCCTCTCCTCTGGAGGAAGGGAACTGACAGTGCTGGTGCATTTTCAGTGAGCCCCTCCTCACCTTTCAGTGAGCTCCCCCACATCTGGGGGCTCTGGGGAGCTCAGCAGTGCCATGTCTCTGCCTAATGAGCCCTGGCACTGCCTGACTGCTAAGCAAGCCCACAGCCACAGTTAAATGACACGTGCAGGCCCAGAGATCCCCGAAGCCAGAGAAAGCAGAGCATTAATTCCAGCAGCTCACGCGTCATTGACGCTCAACTCCACTATTAGAGATCTAATTTCCTTCTCTCCGCCTTGGTATTTCTCCTGGTTGGACAGGAGGAGAGAAAATGGAGTTGGGAGATGTCCCAGCCCACTCCCACAGCACGAGCCTGACCAAGGGGTGAGGGCTGGAATGCTGGAGTGTGGCTGAGGGAGCAGGGCAGGACCTGCTGTGCCAGGGATCCTGAAAGGGTCACACTGGGGAGCCTCTGCCTCCACTGACACCTCAGTGGGGATGAGGGGCTGCCTCTGAAACAAATGCTGCATTCCTTCCAAACTGCCAAAGAACGGCAGGGACAGTGCTGGCAGCACCAGCCTCCTCCCTTGGGAATGCCTAAGGAACACATTAAAGAGAAAAAGAGTGCCATTACCTTTATGTTTCAGTTTTTTATCACAAATGTTACTGTAATCAGCTGAGCTTCAAAGTATTACATCTGCACAACAAATATTGTTTGGAATAAAGGTGAGAAGAAAGTTCAGAGAGGGGGAAGTGTTTTATTTTGCAATTGGTTTGGACAGTAAAGGAGAAAATTAGATGTATTACTGTATTTAAATTCAGCCTCCAGCCCTGAATGATAAAGAAAGAAATCTCTCCTCTCAGAAGGTGTATTGACTCAACACTGCAAAGAAGGTAAGAATGTTACAGAGCCATTTGAAAGATTTTTTTTTTAATAGCTATTTCAAGTTGGGGGAAATTGAGTTTTGGGTAATAGCTGCTGTGCTGGAGAAAACATCCCTCTGTGACTGATCACCTGCACTGCAAATCCTAATGGGAAGAGATGAGGGAGGGTGACAAGGCAGAGTGACAAGGGAGCCAGGCAGAGAGAAAGGCTCCAGGAGAGGAAAACAGAAAGAGTGGAGAGCCTTGAGAAGAAGGAAAGCAGAGAAGCAGGGAGTTACTGAGGAGAAACATGGGCAGAACTGCAGGGGAAGGAGAAGAGGGCAAGTGAAGGAAAAGACTTTGGCTTTGTGCAGGCAGAGCCCAGAAATGGGAGCCAGGAAAGGTCAATACTGTCAGAGTTTCTCCCTCCAGCAGTGCTGAACACGGGGGATGTACATCCAGACATGGTACCAGAAGAGAAGAGCGGACAGAATAAGCCCCCACTGTCTGCCTGCTGCTCTTCAGGTCTTTGCAAGTCACCGCCCTGACAGACCTCTCCTGTCCCCAGTGTACCTACGTGGGCCACCTGCAAAGCTGCAGCCTCTCCAGTCAGACCAGGAAGAGTCACTTTCCTTTTGGTGCACTGGAATTTACAGCCCAAGAGATTACAAGGGACAAATTCATCCTCTGTTGTGTTTCTGGGTGTGCCTGGGCTTTTTGAAGCACTGGGCAGAAAACTGTGACATTTGGTGAGGGCTGCATGCGAGGAATGAAGGGGTTTCTGCCTTACTAAATCTGATTTTGCCTTTGGGGCAGCCTGGCTCTTGCTGCAAGTCTGTCCTTTGAGAAGGGAGTGGGATGAAAGGTGGTGAGTCTGGAGAAGCTCCTTGGCTTTAGGGAATGGGTTGAGGCTGAGGAAAAGGCTCTCACCTGCACCCTTGGTGGTGACCACTTTGGGTTTGCTGCGAGCACCATCTCCCTTCATGGTGTAGGCGGCCACGGTGATGGAATAGGCAGTCTCCGGCTGGAGCCCAGCAATGATCATTTCCTGTTTGCCAGATGCCAAAGGGAAATCATGTCAATATTCAGGCCCACACCCAAGAGCAGCTCTCTCCTCCTTGCAGGAGTCCCAGCCCTTTTCCAGCATGCAGGAACACCGAATCCGAGGGCACGAGACACTCTGGGGCTTCTGTGGAAGTGGCAGAGGGGGAGAGCCCCGTCCCCCTGGCGAGGCACTCACAGCTCTGCAAACACAGCCTGGCTCTGCAGGGCCCTGTGCAAGGCACCCTCCTCCAGATCTGCCTCTCACACATTCCCTGTCTTCACACAAACCACTTCAGCATCCAAATACTGTCACTCCCTTCAAAGCTTTCCTCTCCACTGTGCGGCCTCAGAGGAGGCTCAGAGGTTTCAGGAAGATTACATTTTTTTTTCACCATTAGCCCTCTCTTCTCTCCTCAAGAGATATTTTTAATGCTTTCATAATATTAAAGGGATTGCTGGAATGCAAAGTGCAAGACGACACATTCTGCTCACGCTAAAGCTCCCTGCTAAATCCCACCCCCTCCTTCCCCATCCTCTATCAGCCTCCCCACACCTGGCTCCCAGGAGCTTTTGTTGGAACACTGGCCTCAAGAACAGCCCTTCCCCAGGAGGGATCCAGCCTTTCAAAGGGTTGTGTTGGAAAAGGAACACCCGTGCTAAATCAAACAGGATGACAGCACATGCAGCAGGGTTTTCCCCAAGGCCCCAGGAAGGAGGGAGATGGGAATGTTGTGCATGTTTTATGGCTTTCCCCTCTCCTCACCCCTCTGTGCATTCAATACTAAATCTCAGGGCAGCACTTGGGAAGAATTTGTTAGTCCTGAAAAGAACTATTTCCCCTGATGGTGAGCTGGGAGTGGAGCAGCAGAACTTTGGAACAGTGGGATTTTGATCAGTGACTTGGAGGCTGTCAGCTGCAGGGACAGGTCTGGCTTCTGGAAATCAAGAAAACTGTTCTGCTCTCACATCTGCCACTGAGTTTTATTAAGATTTTAGGAAAGGGGCTTTGCCTCCCTGCGACTCGTTCTCCATCCCTCAAAGAGAGGCCACTCACTTGTGCAGGGCACTTGGCAATCCCCAGGAGACACAAACACCACCAGTTTAGTTGTGTGTTATCTCAGAACCCTGTCACTCCAAGAAGAAAATGCTTTCTCCTACTTCTTGGTAGCTGTAGGATTTTGGAAAACATTTATCATTTTTGCAGAAATAGCAAATGCCAAACAGCCAAGCTGATTTTAAGGTACTTCAAAAGTAAAAGCACCAATAATGATTCAGTGCTTTACATCAATGAGTTTCTAAGGATCTTGGCCCTTTGAGAGTACAAAGCATTTGTTCATGCCGTGATAGCTCAGGACTCATGGATTCTGTACTCCCAGTGCTTCCCAGGCTATCTTTTCCAGACACAGAGGTCTTACAAAGCAGCCCATCTGAGCTCCCTGCTCTGGTGGAAGGTGTCCCTGCCCCCGGCTGGGAGTGGAACAAGATGGCCTTTAAGGTCCCTTCCAATCCAAACTATTTTAGGATTCTCATATGTTCAAAGCAGTCCCAAATTCAATATGCCATCTGCTTCCCCATGGAGGAGCAGCAGACCCATCTTTCCTTCAGAGCCAAAGGGAAAACCCTGTGGGATTGCTGCGTGCTGACAAATGACACGATCACAGAGGGGCAGAGAGCAGTGACAGGGAGGGGACAATGCATAGGGACACCATAAACAGGCTCTAAAACAGGCACATTTGCACTGCCAAAAAAAAAAAAAAAAAAAAAAGGAAAAGGAAAATATCATATCACACCACAACAGGAAGTGGGAGAAGGGAAGAGGCAGAACCAGCATGGGAGGATTTTTATGTTTTTACTTACGTATTCAGCAGTGTCATCTGTTTCCCACTGGGCAGAGAACAAGAGAGGTTTGGCACATGAGAATACAAGAGGGGAAAGAAGGGAAAGACAGAGACACAGCATGAGGAAGGAGTCCCTGAGCAAGCAGCCACACAAGGTCAGAAGTTACCAGGCAAGCATGAGGGAAGAAGTAGAGTGGGAGAAATTAGTAGATTCCACTGTGGCCTTGGCCTGAATTAAAAGACTTCTCAGACACAGCAAGGATGAATGGATGGATGGGTATTTATCTCAGTGCTGGGACAGCAGTTCATACTCTTCCACAGCAACATTATCTGGGAGCACAAACAAACTGCAGAGTGACAAGCACACCTTGTCACAGGTCCCCATATGGACCTTCTGCAGAGTTACACTGCCCAGGGCAGCTGTGTCACCCACCCCTCACAGCCTCGGGGGCTCGGGCAGGTGAGCCTGTTGCTGCAGGCCCCCAGCTGTGTAATAATTAGCATTGATTGTAGAAGGCTGAGCAATTGCTTTATTATTATATCATCTTATAGTATATTCTACTATACTTACACTATATTACAGTAGCAAGAGCTCTCACTAACTAACTAGAAAACCCCTGACTCTCTCTCCTGAGAGTCCTGACACAGCTGTGGATCCAATTGGTCATGGAATCCAAACACCACCACCAAAATCCAATCAATCAATCACCTCGGGTAAACAATCTCCACACCACATTCCACATGGGCGCAACAAGGAGCAGAGACAAGAATTGTTTTGATTCCCTTCTCCCACAGCCTCTCTCAGGAAAACCCCTCAGACGGCAGGATTCCTGCTGTCTGCTGCCATACCAGCCCTTACCTGGGCGTCTGCCAGCATGATGTCCTTGATGTGGGGCAGCCCCCTGGCCTCGCCGTTCTCCATGCGCACGTAGTGCACCTGGTAGCCGCGGATCTGGCCGTGCTGGCGGCTCGGCACCGGCGAGCGCCAGAACACCTGGATGGCCGAGGAGTTGAGCACCTCCACCTCCACCTTCCTCGGCGGAGCGCTGGGCACTGCGGGGAGGCAAGCAAGGGGCTCCAGTCACTTGGGGTTGTGGTCAGAGCCCGTCCCTGCTCTTCTGGGATGTGCACACACTGGATCTGAGCTATATTCAGCTGAATGCCTGAATATCTCATCGCCTGTCACTGGTGTCTCAGTTCTGTGGGATTGTGAAGTTCTGTGGGATCTGATCTGCATGGCCTGGACACAGGGATGGTGTCACTGTTTAGTAAGAAATTACACAGTGTCACCAGAAGGCTGAGTGGCATAAAGCACACCTCTTTACTTTGGACAGCTCCTTTTATACACAATTTTGATCCAGGTAGATTGGTCATTTAATCAATACATTTCACCTGATTGGCTAATTAACAAGACACCCTTTTAAAAACAATCTTATGAGAATAAGAAGAAAACAGGTATTAGGAAAACAGCACCTGCAGGTTGTTTTTTAATAATAAGCTATCATTGTTTGTCTCCAGCTCCCTAAAGTCTCCCAGGCCAATTCTGGGAAAACTAATCTATTTTTCTTGCTCTCTGACTGGGCTGTCACATCTACAGGATGGAAACAGGCCCATCTCATCAGCCAGCCAGCCTTCCACAGGCTCCTTCATGCCCAGTTTGCTCAGATGGAAGGAACCATTATAGCTCCAGATCTCCTTCTGAGGGCAAACCCAATTTCCAGCGAGCCAGAAAAGCCCTGGCCCTGCCTGTGAGAGGTCAGGGTGGAGAGGATCAGGAGAGGACTTGTCCTTGGAGTTCCCTCATCTCTCTGGCAGGACAGGGGGTTGGTGGCTACCAACAGCCACTGTGGAATCTCAGAACAGAAAACAAGAGATGTCTTGGATGGAATTTGGGCTGAATCTTTGGAAATACTACTATTACTACTACTACTAATCACACAGGGCATGGCAACCTCATCTACCAGGAAATCACACTTTCACAGCAGGGTACTCTATGTTACATTTAGATGTGGGTAGAGGCTCAGGGAAACAGGACCAACACTGGGGACAAACCTGTTGCTTTTTAAAAATTCTTTTTATTTGGAATAGGTGAAGAACACCTTAAAATTTTTATTTATATGTTATTTACTTGATATATATTATTTGAGGTCCTCACATTAAGGTTGCTCCTCTCCCTTCATTCATTCACTCATACTTTTCCCTGGTTTTATTTTACTGTAGAAATACCAGGAAAATTCAAGTCTCCGAGTGGGGCCACTGAACTGTTGTCACTCAAGATTTTTGAAACTTTAACAGATTCCTTGTTTTTATGACTGACAAAAGCTCTGACTTAAGGAGGAGGTAGTAACAAGGAATGTGTGGGAAGAGCGCTTTAATATTTTAAAACATGTGCTCCCAGGCACAGGGTGTGATTCTTGGGGCTGTCCCATGCAGGACCAGGAGCTGGACTTGGCTGATCCTTCCAGCTCTGGATATACAATGATTCAAGTTCTGGCAGCAAAGGTTTCCTCAGAACAAAAGCTTTTATTGCCTTGGCTGCTCTTGGCTCAGTGAGAGCATCTTTTCAGGGGAAGTCAAAACTCAGAGATATTAAGAAAGCCCCCACACATCCAGGGCAGGAGAATGCTACAGAACCCCAGTGTTCAGAGGGCTTGGGGTGATGGCACCAGAAGACTCCAGGTGATGGGGTGATGGCACCAGAGGATGCCACACAACTCAAACCTTGGATCCCTGTCCTAGGTTATAATATTGGGGTGTATTCCATTACCACCTCGAGCTGCAATCCCTTTCTTTCCTTATCTCAGAGATAAGTCTCTCCAGGAGGAGCTGTTCTTTTAGCCACATGACTGATAAGATCACAGCATCCTATTGTGAGATGCTCCGCCCAGAGGGAGGAGCCAAACGATGCCATCAAGGACATAAGTGGGGTTGTGCAGACAGCAAGTAGAGCCCCTCTTCCAAAAGGAACAGCTGAAACCTTCTCTGCACTGGACCTCCAGAGGGAAACTACATCAGTCTACAGGAGCACTGCTTGGACAGAGCCATATCTGCTACCACCGCCCCAGCCAGCAAGTGTCAGGCTGTATCTCTAACTCTGTCAGTGGTTCTTCTTTTGTGCTATTGTATGTATTTGGTTCTTTGTTCCCTTTTCCTAATAAAGTGTATTCCTGACTTAGAGCCTCTCACTGGTTTTGCTTTTCAAACCAGGACAATCCCACTCCAGCTCTGGCCTGGCACCACTCAAGACCCACGGGAAGGGTGGGCCTGAAATAGCAACAACCCCCTCCAGGGCCGGGAGAACCCCAAAAAAAGCTCACTCACCATCTTCATCCGTGCGCACGATGACCGGCGAGCTCTCCGGGCCCGGCCCCACCTCCGTGTGAGCCACCACGGTGACGCGGTACTCGGTCCACTTCTCCAGGGACTCCAGCAGGATCTGACTGGTGGTTGGGGGGATATCATTCACCTCCTTTAGCTCCGTGTCCTCCGAGTCCAGCGCTCGATAGTGGACGCTGTAGCCGGCCAGGACGCCGTTCTGGCTCTCGGCCGGAGGCGGCCGCCAACTTACCAGAATGGCGGTGGAGCGGGTGCTGACACATTTTACATCTTGAGGGGGGGCAGACGGTTCTACGAGGGGGGAAAATTCAGGACGGGAAAGGGAAAGAAGGGAGAGGGGAAAGGGCGGGGAGGGGAAAAAACAAAAGATGGGAAAGATAAAAGAAAAAAAAAAGGAAAATGATAACAAAAAAATCTAAAATAAAACGTACAAAAGTTTGGTTTAGGAAGATAAAATTAAAAGAGAAGAGAGCTTTTTGTTGTGGTCTTTTTTTTTTTTTTTTCTCCGAAATGAAGAGGGTTTAAAAAAAAAAAAAAAGCCAACAGAAATTAAATGGGGCATCAAAACTGAAATGGTGTAAAGCAAAGGACTAAACCAGCAAGCGGGCCAGCCAAGAGGGGTCCTGCTGCTTCCACTAAGCTGGCACCAGCTGAACACCCAGCTGCACCCTATAAAAGCCCTTTCCTTTGGCTCCCTGTTTTACAGCAGCCTGGCAAATCCTGCTCTGGCTGGGAAAGCACTTTCCAACCTCAGTCTCTGGGATCTTGAATTTCTTTGAAGGGATCTGTGAAAATTAAGTAAGAAAAGCAAATCTTTTGCCAGGAGGCTTAAATTTAAGAGTCTGTACCTCCAGATGGAAGTGATTAGTTGTCCCCAGACTGGAGGAGGCCAAATCCCACAGTGGGAATGCCCAGGACACTGCCAAGCCATGGTGTTTAAAGAGGAGGGTTTTGAGAAAGCACTTGCAGAAGGAGGGAGGCAGTGGGTTTGGTGAAGTATTTGGGTATCCAGGGGATTTTCCAAAGCAGCAGCAAGCCTAATTCCCACTGCACTCTCTGCCTGAACTACACCAGGGTTTTTCTGCACATCCTGGGAGAAAACCTTGGGAAGTGTGGCCCTAGCCAGGCACCTTCTCAGGGTGGCAGCACATACCTGTCCAGGGGTGACCAGGAGGTGGGGAAGATGGAACCTACAGCTCTCCCTTAAAGCTCCTCTGGTTTCATCCCCTGCCCTGGGCAAGAACAGCTTCCACCATCCAGGGACTCCTTCCTGGCCCTGAACACTTCCAGGGACTAGAGCACGTTTCTCCCAGTCACTAAGGACAGCTGATCAGCCCAGGGAAGCCGAATGTGATACATTCTTAAGGCAAAACAATAAATCCAGTATCACCTAACTGCAATAAAGAGCTTTTAACTCTCTGCAGACAGGGCAGGAAACTGGGGTGAACTCACAAGCCCCCCAGGTATCACCTGAAAGATGCAATAGATCAGTGCTGGTCACTGCTTCTCATTCCTCTGATGCTTTTTAATCAACAGAAAGCTCTTTCAGTGAGAAATTATTGTTTTCAAACCTCTTACTCCCATTCTTGAGTCAAACCCAGATGTTTAGGCCCAGTTTGCCTTGAGGACTCTGCTAAATCCAGTCACACTTAGCCCAGCTGGCACTGGAGTGAGAGCCACACACTTTCCAGGAGCCTCCAGGAGACAGAGGGAAGTGGCTTTTCAAAAAGGGCAGAGATAATCCCTCCACTGCTGTCTGAGCACCCTGCCCAGTAGGACATTTTGGGTGTTTTCCTTCTATTTTTATGCACTATTGCTGTCTTTAACCTGGCAGAATGACCCCCTTCTCCCCAGCACTCCCAGTGAGGAGGCTGACAAGCCCTGGCCATGGCTGGCCACGCAAAACAACACAGAAGATGTCAAATGAACCAAACCAAAAAGAACAAACCGGAAAATAAAACACAAATCAAGCCAATAATTTGAAATAAAAAGAAAAAACAAACAGCAGAAAGGAAATCATAATAATAAAATAATACTGATATAAAAAGTGACTCTTTCCAGAACATTCCCAGTCTGTTTACCTACCTTCCACGCTTCAACTGCTAACTTATAAGACTTTCTTACAAGAGAACAAGAGGAACTGAGCTACGAGGCCAGACCAAGCTCCTGGTGGGTTTCTGCACATGACTGGCTTTTAAAATGCCACTCTGCTCATGATGAGTCCCCCCCGAGTCCTCCCCCCTCAGCAGAACCCCAGCTATTGCAGAAATGGCAATTTTGGGCCCCAATCTGTTCTGTTTTGCTAAACTGTCAGCACAAAGAGCAGGACAGCACATTCCCAGCGACAGATCTCCTTCCCTCTGGCTCTCTCCATCTGCTGTGATTGCTGCACCACCTCTCCAGGACAGAGGTGCACTGCTCATCCCATGTCCCAGAACCAGCTCAAGGATGGTTTCAAGGTATGGAGGGACAGACTCAGCCCTCTCCCATTGCTGCCATGGTGCCATTCCCTTTTTTTTTTTGTCCTCATCAGAGGCAGGGCATATTAAAATCCACCTTTCCTCCTTAGTTCCAGCCAAAGCCACCACAGCTGAGAAACCCACTGCAGAGAGGGTCTGACCTGACCTACCCTTCATCCTGCACCTCATTCTGAAAGCCCCAGGAAGCAGAGCTCAGCTCCAGCTGGCACTGGGGTCACTGTCTGCGCTGCCACGCTCGCTCACTCACCCTCTGTGCTCCAGCACAGGGACCTACTGAGAGGCCCTGGGGTGAGGCCTCCTTTTGGGATGGTTTTGCACTTTCTCTGGCCAAAAAGGCAGGGTGGGGGGGTGGGTGATGGGGGAGAAGGCCCAGGTCCTGCCCGGCCCCCTCCCCGTCACCCCTGGACTGCAGCAGCGGAGGAGAACAGCCAGGGGTGCTGGCTGGCCACGCTGGACACGCCTCTGGGAGCTCATGGCACTGTTTCCTTCACAATCCAGCCCAACCTGTGTGACCCTGGGGATGCTGGGGACAGCGCCAGGAGCCCAGTGCCACCAACCCCACCGGGGCTGCGAGCTCAGCTCTGCAACCAGCCCTTCCCCGGGCGGGGAGCCAGGCACAGGCAGGAGCCCCCAGCCAGGAGAGCTCTGCCATGGCCTGCTGCTGGTTCCACCAGTGTTTTGGGACCCCTCCCCACCCTCCCAGGGCTCCAGAACATCCGGGAGTGTCTGCAGAGCCACCAGCGGTGAGCCTGCAGCCACAGGGTGGACTGTATTTGTGAATCTGCTTGAGACCAGCCAGTACTCACCTGAGCTGCACCTTCTACATGCTTTAAAGTTGACTGTCCAAGCCACAAGAATGACCCTTACTGACCTTGCACAATATCATGTTTTTTAACCCTTTAGGTACCATAGACTTTGGGTATTTCATTCACTTCATGTACTGTGAGGAGGGGGGCAGGAGGGAGAGCGGAGCTACGTGGAGGGAAATCCTTCCTTGGGCAGGAACAGAGGGTGAGAAAGCCCCATTGTTCCTCTACACCTGCACATGCAGCCTCACAGCACCCACCCTGCCACCCCTGCCTGCTGACCACGCTTTGCCCTCCGGAATTTCTGACTGGGAGAGTTGCCAGGGAGCCTGGGAAGGTCATGGCTAACCAGAAAGGGCAAACCAGCTTCTCCCAGCCATGAGAGTCTGTCAGTTTTACAAGCTATGTCTCTGGTACTTGAAGAGTTAAAACCCAGCTACTTCAAGAAGAAAAAGATACTTTACCTTTAGTTTAATGGATTTTACTTTGGTTATGATGCTCAGGAGGAGCCACCCTGGCAGGGAGGTGCAGGGAGGGGCTGCCACATGCGGGTGGGTGCTGGGAGGGGACAGCAGGAGCAGCAGGAGGAGCAGGGAGAGGCTTTGTCATTCCAGAGACAAGATGCCATCGTGGTGTGACATCGCCCAGCGAGGGACAGGGACAGCAGGGAGCTGGCTCATCGGGTGCAGGGCATGCAGGCAGGCAAGCAGAGAGCAGAAGAGAGAAGAAAGAAGAGGCATGGAGCAGGCCAAGGAGGAGCTGAACGGAAAAGGAGCTGAGGAGGGAAGACACAAAAGCCTCTCCCGAGCCAGAAGGTCTGTGAGCCGAAGGATGTCACCCGGACCAGGGAGAATTGACTCGTTCCTCCAACAGCCAGCCAGGAAAAAATGTTTCACCATGTTACAGGACACTGACAGCTCCCAGCTGATGTTCTTAAGAGCATTAAATTAATGAGACTCTCCCTATGAAAGCTGAGCTACAGAGAGAGAAACCCGTCCGTGTTCTGGGCAGATGCCAAGTTAGAAAAAGCCCCAAAGCCTTCCCTTTTCCCAGATCCCCTTTTCTTCACCCTTAAGGGACAAATTTTCACTAAGGCCTACTGCCACCAGTTCCCACACCCCTCTTCCAGCTTGTTTTATTGAACCAGAAAAGCACAAATCCCAGACCATGTTTGCCTCCCATCCCCACAGGTCTCAAGGAGAGAAACCCCTTGGAAAACAGAAGCAGAGTGTAAGTTTAACACTTGTTTTTTCAGGTCCTTTCAGTTCATTTCCCCCACCCCACAGAGATGCTCCCTCTGACAGTACCACACTGGGATCAGAACCAGCAGATGTGCAGCAGAGTCAGGAAAGGATTTTCCTATGGAACGTAGAGAGAGTATGGAGAAAAAGAAAAGAAAGAAAAAAGGGGAAAAACATTTGAAGGAAAGAAAAACCAAAAAAATCTTTGAATGGAGTGGAGGCCTGAGAAATCCCCGGTAAGGAATTGTGTCTATGCAGAAACAGACTCCCCTTTCTTCCCACTCCTCAGGGGACAGAAAGAGAAGGAGACAGGGAAAGGGAGAGACAGCAGGATGTGATAATTAAAAAGCCCAGCCGAGAGCCTGCTGCTCCCCCTTGTTAGAGACTCTGAGGGATGGGAGCAGGGCTCTCCCTCCTCACACTGGTGACCAGAGCCACTTCTGAGTTAGTTCTGCTCCCGGCTACTCCAAACTGCAGCGGAGTGATTTAGTAGAGATGAGAGGAGACAGAAAACACAAAGAACAGCTGCCACAGCCACTCATGCAGTGAAAAAACACCTCATTTAAAAGCAAAGATCTGTGAAAAGCCCAGGTTGAGATATTGCCATCCAGGGTTATTGTCCCCAGGGCAACAGCGAAGGGAGACAATCCATTAAACTAAAACCAGCACGTTTTGAGTTGCATACACTCCATCCTGGTGTCATCAATATCCCCCTCCTGGCCTCCACAGGGCTCCTCTCTCCCGCTCTGCTGGAGCCCAAACGGGACCATTCCCAGAGCTCCAGGCCTTCCTCCCCTTGGCTGTGGAGGTGCTCATGGAAAAGAGCATGGGGACTGCTTCCCCAAAGGCTGGGGAAGGTTGGGTGGGTGAACAATCACCTTCCCTTCTCCTCTCCCTCCCGCTTGCCCACCGTCTCCTCGCTGCCCTGCCCCTTCCTGACGGGCTGTGGCTGCCATCCCCTGAGCATGCTCAGCACCATGGCCAGCGTGGCCACCACCGAGCCCTCACCGCTCGCCACCCCGCGCGGACGGTGCTGCCCGGCCCCCCAGCACCCCAAACCCCAGCTCTGCTCCTGGCTCACGTCTCACATAGCTGGTGAACGGAGAGGGGAGCAGGTCCCAGAGGTGTCAAAGGAGCGAAACGCCAACCCCCAGCTCCGTACCCCTGTGCCCACCATCTCTGGCTCCCTGACCGTGGTCCCCTCAGAGAAGGGTGGGAAAGGAGAGACACCTACTAGACTGCAAGGTGCGCTCTCGGACCTCCGGGGTGAAGGCCCCCAGCCCCAGGGCCGAGCGGGCGGCCAGCCGGAAGACATACTCAGTGTTGGGCTTCAGGCCTTCCACCGTGAACGAGGTCGTGGGCTCGAAGTTCTTCAGCACCTGGGATGGGCGAAGGGGGAAGAAGAAAATAAACCCAAACAACAGGCAGCAGAGATGAGGCCTGCCCAGAGACACCTGCCCTGCTCCCCTCGCTCTGACACCGCAGGGAACAGCGGGGCCAGGGAGCTCCTCAGCCCCAACCCTGCTCAGTTTGGACTCACCTCCTTGCTGTGGTCTCCTTCCTTGTAGAGGAGCTCGTACTTCACTATGATCTCCTGGCGTGGGGGGCTCCACGACAGCACAATGCTCGTCTCGGTCTTGGCTTCTGCTCGGAAGTTCATCGGCTGCCCAGGAACTGGCACGGAGAGGGAGCCGAAGGGGCAGAGGAGGCAAGATGAGAAACAGGAGAAACCACATTAACTTGGCTAATTAGGAGGCTCTTGCCCTGTTTTCTTCAAAACCTGTGTGGGAAGAGCACGTCAGCAGCAAAATGCCACACTGCAGCGTGGGCAGGTCCTGCCTCTAAAGCTGTGGAGTTACATCCCACTGCAGGACTTCAGCGTATCCAAAGTTGCTGGAGATGGAAGAATCCCAGTGGATCACATGCCTTTTTCTCAGCAGTGCAGAATACAACCCTTCCCATCAATCCCAGTATTACAAGATTCTGGGAGTAGGAAGCCCATGAGCAGCCCGTTGAGGACACAGGGTTTCCTCCCATACCCCAGGCCAAAGATGTGCTGGGTGACAGCCCATGATAAAACATTTGTGTTTGCAGTCAGTTCCTGGGTACTCTAGGGAGAGCTAAAGTGTCCACCACTACATGGGCAGTTTTACATCTGTTAAAGACATTTAAAATCATGGAATGGTTTGGGTTGGAAGAGACCATAAAACTCATCCAGTTCCATGGGCAGGGACACCTTCCCCTATCCCAGGTTGCTCCAAGCCTGGCCTTGGACACTTCCAGGGATCCAGGTGCAGCCACAGCTGCTCTGGGCACCCTGTGCCAGGGCCTCCCCACCCTCCAAGTAAATAATTCCTTCCCAACATTGCATCTAAACCTTCAAATCTAACCAGCAGCTCTCCTTCCCACAGCCCAGGTCAGCGACACAGGTGCTCACCTCCTTGCTGTGTCTTAACCTGGATGGGGTCGGACAGGGGCCCGTCCCCCACGGAGGTGAAGGCCAGCACTCGCACGGTGTAGGTCTCATCCTCCAGGAGGCTGCCCACGGTGGTCAGCAGGCTGTCATCCACGTTGTGCTTCTGCCAGTTGCTGACGGGCTGGTCGGGCTCCATGGTGTAATAGACCCGGTAGCCTCGGATCTGCCCGTTGGGCTCCACCGGTTCCTCCCACTGGATGATCATGGTGGTGCTGCTCAGCATCCGGCCCTGCACGTTGCGGGGGGCACTGGCAGGAGCTTGTTCCCCAGTTCGGGTGACCACCGACTCACTGGGAGGCCCCTGCCCGATGCTGTTGACTGCAGAGACCCAGATCTCGTACTCGGAGTTGGGGCTGAGCCCCCCAATGCTGTAGCGCGTGGTGGTGATGTCCTCCTTGATCTGGTATGGTCCATCCTGGCTCTTAGACTTGTACTCAATGACATAGTAGGACACGGGGTCTGGATTTCCAGAGTCCCAGGTGATGGTGATACTCGTTGCTGTTGTCTCTGTCACCACTGGCGTCCCAGGAGCCTTGGGAAGTGCTGAGAATCAGGAAGAACAGGCATTTAAAAAAACCCACAGATGCTGAAATGGCACCTAATTGGTCTGGTTAGGACTGCAGGAGGCAGAGGCACAGCACCAATCCTGGCAGCTCAGGAAAGTGCTGCTGGAATATGAGGAACCTAGTTATCCACTCTATTATCCTCCTTAAACTGCTCCATCAAAGGCAAAGTGTTCAGCTAAACATCTGGAATCATTAGCACAGGCTTCAGCTGCACATCCACCCTCCGGGGGCAGGGAGGGAGAGCAGCTCCTCAGCTCCTTCCCAGCATGTGCTCACAGCTCTGCTGAGCCTCCACCAGCAAGGAATGGCACAGGGCAGGCTCTGCTCTCCAGAACAAATCTCCAGAAATGCTGGGAGGGCTTCTCCTCAAACCACAAACTGTTAATCCTCATCTTCCCTCTCCCTCAGCCAGGGAGTTCCCCATGAGCCTGCTGGGGACTGCACACTGCTCAACACTTTAACTGCACCTGATACATGTTCTCACTTCACCTGTTCTCAAGCTTCTCACTTTAGACCCTTTTCAACTTCTTCTTATCATGGAATCCCAGAATGTTTTGGGTTGAAAGGGGCCTTAAAGCCCATCCAGTGGAACCCCAGTGGGACACCTTCCACTGGCCCAGGTGGCTCCAAGCCCTGTCCAACCTGGCCTTGAAGCCTAACTTCTCTAGACCTGATCACAGTGAAGCTCAAACTTCTCCTTTCACCTTCTGCCTGTGCCAGATGCAGGTGCTCACACACAGGAACAGGGCAGGGAACATGATCCAAACTAAATTACAAGAGACAGAAACTACCAGCAGGGTGAGATTTGCCATGTGAGGAGATGGGAGAGTTGGAAGCAGAAACAATCTGCCCTACACAGCAGCTTTTTAGATTGAGAGGGTAAGACAGGGAAAAAAGGGAAGGAAGGAAATACTTAGGAAAATAAAGAGGACCTGAGTCCAGCCCCAGGCATCTTTCTGCTGGCACAAGAGCCCCACTGCTTGTGCAGAAGCTCAGAATGGGTGTCACACCAAGATTCTCTAGTCCCTACTCATTTCTCTGGCCAGACCTTCCTCAGACAGATCAGTGATACACCAGGATTGTTTTTCCTTATCCCTTTCTCCCAAGTGTTTCTCCTCTCCCCCACCCATGGATCTTTTCCCACCCCACCTTTCCCAGATCCCTCATGGGCAACACCAGTACTTGGAGCAGACACCAGCTCACACAGAGCTCTACACTCACCCAACCTCTGGGGGTCCTGCTTGGGTTTAATACTCCCCTGCTGAGGACAGAATAGATTGAAGATGGCACCCGTGCTCCTCTTGGGAATCACTAGCTGGAAGCTGGGCTTATTTCCCATCTTGCCGAGGCAACAACGGCCACTAAGATGCTGGAACTAAGCTCTACTGCAAGGGTGCACATGCCAGAGATCCTCAGGGCCTTGGCTGAATCTCAGCCCTTGGAACAGGATGGCATGCAGGCTCCAAGCCATCCAAGGCTCCTTGCACAGTGCCCAGCCAGCCTCATACATCAGGACAGACACAGCATGCAGGGATTTGAGCCACAGTTTTCTTCATAACAACCAGCTCAGGTGTCCTAACGCAAGGGAAGGTCTCCAGCCACCAGCTTCCCCTCCACTGGGGGTTTCCCTGTGTGTGGGACCCCCAAGGACACGCACAGATCACAGCACGGGGCACTCATGGTGCACACGTCTGTCCTGCTGCTCGTGCTCACAGAGCTCCACGTGTACACACAGGTAAGGACAGGGACTGACACTCCTGCAGCCAGGCTCACGATACAGCCACGGTGTCCCTGGCCATGCACACATCCCACTTGTGCAGGAGCACCAGGACATGCAGAACTGTGTCCTTATCCATGGACACACATCCCATTTGTGCAGGACACTTGGACATGCAGGGCTGTCCCTATGCATGGACACACATCCCATTTGTGCAGGAACACCAGGACATGCAGAACTTCATCTCTATCCATGGACATCCCATTTGTGCAGGAACACCAGGACATGCAGGATTGTCCCTATCCATGGACATACATCCCATTTGTGCAAGACACCTGGACATGCAGAACTGTGTCCCTGTGCATGGACACACATCCCATTTGTGCAGGACATCAGGACATGCAGGACTGTCCCTATCCATGGACACACATCCCATTTGTGCAGGACACCTGGACATGCAGGGTTGTCCCTATGCATGGACATCCCATTTGTGCAGGACACCAGGACATGCAGGACTGTCCCTATCCATGGACATTCCATTTGTGCAGGACACCTGGACATGCAGGGTTGTCCCTATCCATGGACATTCCATTTGTGCAGGACACCTGGACATGCAGGGTTGTCCCTATGCATGGACATTCCACTTGTGCAGGACACCTGGACATGCAGGACCGTGTCCCCTGTGGCAGCCACAGGCTCTTCCCATGCAGACACACGATGCCACAGGCACAAACCATGGCACATTCCCACTCTGCTACACGTCCCACCATCGCTCCCATGCACAAGCAGGACACGTGCCCAGGCATCCCCTGCACTCATGCTCGGACACTCAGCTCTGGCCGTGCCCGCACGCCTGCCTGGCACGTGCCCACTCCCACACGTGCACTCAGGACCCTGCTCCCACTCCCTTACATTTCACCGTGATCTGGGCAACGGCTTCTATGACTCCCAGGCTGGACATGGCCACGCAGGTGTAGTTGGCAGAGTCCTTGACGTCCGTGAGCTCCAGGACGTTCCTGCCCACGGGCATGTCATCCTCGGGCGTCAGGTCCTCTGCTCCCTGCATCCACTTCACGTAGGGCATGGGAGACCCCACGGCCACGCAGGTGATGTTGACGTTGCCCCCGGGCATGATTTCATGGCTGACAGGGAGGATGGAGAAGCGAGGGGCCACACGGCGAACTGTGGACGAGACGCACAGAGGTAACAAAAAAACAAAACGGAAAAGCAAAGCAAAACAAACGAACGAACAAAAAAACGAAGAGGAAAAAAAAAACCCAAAAAAATAAAAAAGGAAAGGAAAGAAAAAGAAAGGAGAAAAAGAAAAAAGAGTAAAAGATAATTTAAATATAGATGGGGTTTGTCATAGTTTATTTTCTTCCTTCATTAAAAACGAAACAAAAAACCAAAGAAATGAAAAAATCAAAAACCGAAAACCAAAAAAATGAACTCCAAATAAATTCGTACTTCACAAACAATATATAGAATATAGACATAAAAGCGATATTTCATAGCAACAGGGTTCCATTGATCAAGATTAGACCCATCACAGCACAGATAAATACACAAAAATTTATTAGCAATTTCTCATCTTTACTGGCAAGAGCTGGCATGGCGAGAGCCCAAACTTCTCCTCCGCGGCCGCTGGGGCCCCCAGCTCCCCGCTCCACACCCCGGGAACCTGCTCCTCCCTCTCCCAGTGGGGTCTGAGTCCCGGGTCCCCTTCTCCTGAGGAAGAGAGAAGGTCTCCTTCTCTATCCACCACCACTCGGCGTGGTCCAGGTGCCCCCTCCAGAGAGGGGCCCTCTCCCACCCAGGGCTGCTGCAGACATGGGGTGGGGGCCCAGGAGAAGGTTTGGGATGGAGATGGAAACTTCTCAATGTTTTGCCTTGTTGGACCCAGAGAATTCAACAAAGAGAGAAGTATCACATCCCCAAATGCCAGACGCTCCACTTGAGAAGTGAAAAGTAAAAGGATAAACGAGGGAGGAGAGGGAATCCCCGGAGTGGGACAGAATTTGGTCGGTGTCTGCGTGTGAGAAGCGTCCAGGGGAACACAGCCCCCCTGGAGCAAGAGAGAGTGTGGAAAAGATGAGAAACTCTAATGAAATTTTTGTGGTTTTCGGGTATAGAAACCCTAACGAAGCCTCTTTAAGATCTGACACGGTTCCATCGATAGATGCAGCTCTCAGAGTCACAAACATCATGCAAAATAGGTAAAAAAGAGAGAGAGAGAAAGAGAGAAAGAGAGAGGAAAATGCAGAGAAATATAATTTCTGGGCGGCAGCAAATGCCCACATGGATACTGGATAGAAAGTGAGCGACAGAGAAAGGAAGGAAGACCAGGAGAAGGAGAACGAGGGGGGAAGGGAGAAAGAAGAGAGAGAGAGAGGGAGGGGAGGGGGAAACCCACTTTAATGCTGCATACTTTTTCTAGCTGATGTGACTCAATGTGGTGGCTCACATTGTCACATCTCAGCCCTGGCGGAATAATAAATAGAATAGAATTAATAAGAAAAACAAGGTAATGAAACTTTTAACGTTGAGAAAACAGTGACATGTTCTGTGCATCTCCTTAGCAGAGAGGTGGATGCAGCTTCCAGACCTTACACAGGAAGAACATGGACGCAAAGGGGAGGCTGTGGCTTCCTTGGCTCCATTTTCTGAGCTACCTGGGCTGGCTGGAGAGATGCTGGGTGCCCTTCTTTAGGGGGGAAAGGACAAAGGAGAATGTGTGTGGATCAGAGAGGGCCTAGGGAGGGGGCTGAGGGCAGGGTCTCCTCCGACAAGAAAGACAAAAGGATACAGGACCTGGGGAAAATGCAGGAACTGCAGCAGCTGGAGGCTAGCAGGGGTGCAAGACTCCTCCAGCTCCAGGGACAGCCATGCAGGAACTGCCACAGGCAGGGTGGGCGAGGGGCAGGAGGGTCCAGAGGGCTGAGAACATTCTGTTCCTGCTGTCTGTTCCCAAGTAACCTCTGCACAGCCTCTCCAAAGCTTGGTGGCTTTGCCTCATGCCAAAGCAAAGCAAAGGACAGCAGGACTGAGCCTGCCATTGTCCCTCCCAGTGCCTTCAGATGTCCCCTGGAACGGTCTTGGGGCTTGCTAGTGTTTATCTTCCAGTTTTGTGGATCTTTTCCAAGGGGAAGGGCACTGCCAGGAGAGGCAGAAGCTGTTTGCTGTTTAGCGGGGCTTTGGCAAACAAAGGCCAACCCTGCAAGGTGACAAGGGACATTGTCACAGCAAGGTCTGCTCTCCCCATCAGGCTGTCAGACCCTTTTCTGTGAGAACCAGTAGCGAGGAACCAGCACTGGGAGGCAAGGAAGAGAAGACTTCCAGATTGGTGGCATTAGAAGCTCAGAGGTGGCAAAGGGGAATTCCTGCATGCACGGATTTGCAGAGAGAATGGGGGGCATGCCCTCAGCTGGGAGAAGGATGGGGATGTGGAGGGAGGGGCTGCAAGCTCACCTGGCCACTGACACTAGAAGATGATTTTCTACCTGCAGAAAGGTGTAAGGAGGGTACCACGGTGTTTGTTCCACCTCAGGCACTGGCTCAAAGGATCAGAAACATGCTCCTTGCTCCCTCCTGCCCCTAGGGAGAACATTCAGCCCTAGCCACGAGGGTGCATCCCTGTTTCCTACTCCATCCTGCTTCCAGAAGTACCACACTTCAGAAAATGGAGCCAGGTGGAAACCACACCTGTCACAGTCTGAGACAAGATGGAGAGAACTCGGAAAGAAACAAGTGGGGTCAACATGCAGACAGATCTGGGGTGGGATGACTCTTCTGAGGGGGGGCTGGTATGTGACCTTCCGGAGAGGGGAGGCAAGGTGGGAAAGGTGAGGAGGAATGGGGAGACACATCCGGACAAGATCCGGCCAGCAAACAGCATCAACAGCAACAAACAACGGCAGGTGGGATGCAAACACTGAGTTGTCATGGGAACAGAACAAGACAATTAATCCAAACCGAAGCTAATCGCAAAGAAATGAAACCCAACTGAAAAAGAAAGGAAAAAAAATTAAGAAAACAAAGAAAAGAAAAAGAACAAACCAGAATTTAATAACTGAAAAGCATCATCTGATGTAGGGCGGAGCGCTGAGAATCGGAGTCTGAAGGGAACCGACTGTTCCTGGCTGTGGTTTGGGGCAGGGGAGGAGAAATCCACTCACAAAACACAAGCTCAGGGGCTGCACAGAGCACGTTCCCAGAAAGCTGCAGAGCAGCCCTGCCCTCCTCCTGACAGCTCCCAGGGGTGCAGGTCAGCCCTGGGGTCTCAGGGATCCTTACTTTGGGCTGCTTTAGTGGCATTTGTCACCCTCCAAGGGAAGCACCAAGCACCCAGCACCTCTGGATGCCAGCCCTCAGCATCACCTGTTCCACAAGGAGGGAGAATTTGGAATAGGGCTGAGAGGAGCCCAAAACAGGCAGCAGCACTTCCTTGGTGCATCCTGGTTTAAAAAAAACCCTAGACTGTCCTGTGTGCACAGATATACCAACATCCACACACTGATCTAGGATGGGAAAAGAACTCCAGTTAAATGTTGGGGACCTCAGAGAATCCCCTGGATACAGCCCTGTGATGGCTTAGGGCTGCAATAACCACAACAGGCACAGGGTTCATCTCTGGCTACCCAGAGCCATCAGGCAGCTGCTTATTTTAATTGCTGGAACATTTGCATTTGGCTGGAGAGAGGGAATTTGTCAAGCTGAGAATCTCTGGGTCAGCCTTTAGGTCAAGGCCCAGGAGGAGGAGAGTCGTGGTGGAAAGGAAGCTGGAAATGGAATCAAGACCAATTTCAGCTCTGGGTCCAGCTCCACAGCAGCTGAAGGAGAGGAATTTCACAAGAAAAAAACTGGGTGGAGAGATCCCTTCCATTTTGCCATCCAACACTTTCAAAGGATCGGGAAGAACAGAACTGCCCTCTCTGGAAAGGAAACATTGGGATGGGGCAGTCAGGCCTCTGCTTTATTGACACTTGCCTAATAACACATTTCCCAGTTTCTGGTGCAAGAAGGACCTTCCCTGAGTTCCAGGGGTGTTTGGTTTCCAGGACAGCTTTGCCAGATCCCGCATGCGTACACGGACGTGCATGCTCCATGTGCAACAGCTCCCGACAGACACACACAAGCAGGCACACACAAACAGACATTGTCCATGGCCAAAAAACTCTCAGGAGCCTTTTTTCAAACAAGGATACAGCTTGTTATGGATAGAACCAAATTCCAGGACTAGAGCTGGATGTTTGGGGTGCAATAATTATTTCAATGCAGAGAAGCCATTTCAGAGGCACAGGGAAATTTCTTAAGTGCAGTTAGTTATGAGTCTGTTTAATTGTTGGATAAGCATTTCACACTGCAAATCTGCACCCCAAATTGTGCTTTTTTTTCAGAAACAGAACAGATCCATAACTTTTCACACCCTTGGGAAGCCAATTGGTTTTGTTGCTGCTCACGGAGGCAGAGGTTGACCCAGTTTGTGTTCTGTGAGTGGCATTTTTGGCTTTTTTTGGTCCCAATCAGCACGGCTCAGGTTCCCCATCACCACTCGGGGTCCACAAGGTGAGAGGTGTTTTTGCAACATTTACAGACCTGATTGGAAGAGACACTGGGAGATCCAGTGGGTTGACTTTTGCAACACCAGAATCCATCCTTAAAATGTGTTCCCATGATGCTGCTAATGAGAGAAACCTGAGGACCAGCCAGTTTGTGCTGAGGAACACCACCAGCTGCTCTTTTAAAGCCCCTTCCAGATTCCCTCAGAGAGAAAAAATGTTGGAGGAGGAGCAAGGTGGGTAAAAGGAGAATGTCCTGGACAAGAACCTGTCACTTCAAACCCCGATTCACATTAAACCAACTCAAAGAGAAATGCATCTTATACCTTAAAGAAGAAATTAATCGGAAAAGAAAAGGAAACAAAAGAAAGTGAAGTGACTGGTTGAAAGCACCAAACAAAACCAAATGGTATTAAACATTTTGACACTCAGCAAGCTGCTGCTCCAAATGAGGTGAGAAGGCGGACATTATTGGCCATTTTGGGGAGACAGGAGTCATTCCGTCTTGCTCCAAAATGAGGAGGGGTAGGGGAAAGGGTGCCAAAATAATGTGCAGCCTCTAATTATTAGTGAAGCTTAGATTACACCTGTCCTCCCCTCCCAAATGTGGTCTGGCCCTGGCCCTGCGTGTCCGTGCAGCCGCCTCTGCCTCTCCCTCTCCCGTTCCAATTCCAGGCTCATTCCCCTGGGGTGAGACCTTTTGGGCTTTGGATTTCCGACCTCTGCCCCTCCACAGGATGAGAAGCTTCCCTCCTCCTGCCCATCTCCTTCCTCATTTCCTTCACAGTAAATAAAATAAATAGGTAAATAGGTAGATAAATAAAGATTGAGACCAAGGCTTGGATTTGGTCTGGAGGAAATCCATTACCTTCCGAATAATTGTTACTTTTCACTTAAAAAACCACATTAGCTGAGCGACAGGCTGGCTGAACATCTCTGGTATTTTGCAATTCTTTTTTTTTTTCTGTTGTTTTTTACAGGATTGAACAGAAAATAATCAGAATCCAATTGTTTTTCACGCAGCTCTGTAATTTTAAACACAGACTTGACTGTTTTAGTTTTTGTTATTTTAATTTGACAAGGTGTAATCTAATTTTTTCCCCTAAAACAAAGAGAACAGCAATGCAAAAGGTGTAAGAGACACAGGCAGGCAGAGATTTCGAGATCAGTACAGCACAGTGTTCCTGCAAAGTGCCCTCTATAGAGAGATAGTCATGTATATACATAGATATATACACAGTTTGGATTTTTTTTTGGTTGTTTTTTTTTTTTTATGGGGGTGGCTTTTTGTATCCATTTCCATTTCCTGATACCCTTGAGAAATCCTTCTGCAGAAACACAGTGAAGTTTTTGTTTGCTTTGTTTGGTTTGGAACTAGAATTTCAGAGCTGAGGACACCCCAAACACGGACAGGGCGCTCCCCCACCCACAGAAGTGCTAAAATAATCCCTTAAAATCATCCCAGAACTCTCCATCCCTCAATTTTAGCACCTGGAAACTGGGCACTGCAGAGGCAGCTGTACAACCCAGTGGTGGTTCTGCCTCCCTCCTTCTCCATTAAAGAATTTATTATCAATCTAGTCTAAAAAGGTATTAAAATTCCTACAGTTTAAAATACCAATGACTGTTTTGACCTTGTGGCTATTTGTTAAATCTATAGTGCATGTGGAATTATTTCCTTCAACCTCTAAATGGGATTGAAAGGGAAAAGTTCAGCAATGGTTCCACCTGGAACCAACTAACAGCTCTGGTCTGATGGTCAAATTACTCATATGCCAAACTTAACCCAGGCTACAGCCTAAATTATTGCTTAAATTAGTCACATTTTAATCTATTTTGAAGCTTTATTTCCTGAGGTGCTCAGCACACTATCCCTGCCCTTTCTGTGGGTTTTATTTTAATTGATTTCCACTAGTGCAGCTCTTACATGTTTTGCCCTGGCCTGGTTTCATCTTTGGTCTCTCAATGAGCTGAGGTTTTCCAGAGAGCCTTGGGAGTTGCTGGCAATGTTCTCAGCAGGGCCTGGGCTGCAGAACCTGGCCGGGGGTGACAAAGCTTGTGCTGATGGCGACAAGCAGCAAAGGCAGGCCCTGAGCTGCTTTAAATGCCTGCTGAGCCATTTACGGCTCCCTGGGCTGGAAAAGAGCAGAGCCAAAAGAAGCTGGAGCAGAGAGCAGGAAGGATTATCCCTGCAGCATCCCAACTGCTGCCTTTTGTACCTTCTGACACGGCCCCACTGTGTGAAAAAGGGGAAAATTCTTAATTCTGCTACATTCAACCACGACAACGTGTCCTGTACCAGCAGCAGCAGCTCTGGGGCATCTGAAGCACGGCTCTCACTGCTCATCCCTCCTTCCCTCTGGGCCGTGAGGAGCACGGGGACACGAGGTCCTTCCACAGGCCTCCATCCCAGCCAGCAGCTGCATTTTGGGATCAAACCACAGCAATCGAGGTGGCCGCCTGCAGCTTCCCAAATGAAGAGGAGAGCTGCAAAGTGCTGCATTTCCAGGGGGCAAACCAGCTCTGGCCACAGGTCCTGGCTGATGGGACGCAGGTCCTGTCTGAGGGGACAAAGCCCCTGGCTGAGGGGACACAGGTCCTGGCTGAGGGACAGAGGTCCTGGCTGAGGTGACAAAGCTCCTGGCTGAGGGGACACAGGTCCTGGCTGAGGGGACACAGCTCCTGGCTGAGGGGATACAGGTCCTGGTTGAGAGGACAAAGCCCCTGGCTGAGGGACACAGGTCCAGGCTGAGGGGACAAAGCCCCTGGCTGAGGGGACACAGGTCCTGGCTGAGAGGACACAGGTCCTGGCTGAGGGGACAAAGCCCCTGGCTGAGGGGACACAGCTCCTGTCTGAGGGTCAGAGATCCTGGCTGAGGGGACACAGGTCCTGGCTGAGGGGACACAGGTCCTGGCTGAGGGGACACAGCTCCTGGCTGAGGGACACATGCCCTTGCTGGGGTAATGGTTGAGCCCCCCACGTGGTCCCTGATCACAGACAAAAACACCACAGAGTGCTCTGGGCTGGAAAGGACCTCAAAGTGTCACCTCTGCCATGGGCAGGGACACCTTCCACTGTCCCATGCTGCTCCAAACTTTGTCCAACCTGGCCCTCGACACTTCCAGGGATCCAGGGGCAGCCTCTCAACACCACTATGGGCAGGCAGCTCTGCATTTGCAGGATTTTGAATCCATCCTTTCCTGCAATCGCTACGGGCCACAGGTTTGGTGGCACTTGTGTCCCTAGGGATACAGAGAAGCATCCAAGGAGACTTCTGAAAGCCAGGTGAGCTGCATGGCTCCCATAAAAACCAGGATTCCCACCAAAGTACTGGCTTGCCCCTCGAACTGCATCCATCTTTTCACCAACCACGGGTGAACCCTGGACAGGTGGCTCAGCCTAAACTGCCACACACCTGGGCTGGTGGCAGGGATCACCTCACCTGCTTCTGACCTGCTTTTGTGGTCTCCAGAAAGAAGCTTCTGCCTCTGACCTTGGGTATCCCCTGTTAGCACTCTGTTATTTTGGAGCATGGCATGATCTGACCTGTAATAACACACGAGGCAAACCCTTCACCAATAATTTCAAGACCATGCCCATGGTTTGGGTTGGAAGGACCTTAAAGCCCATCCTGTCCTCACAGGACACCTTCCACTAGACCAGGTTGCTCAAAGACCATAACAGCCTTTTCTAGGCAGGTATCAAATCTCCATTTCCTCACCCAGTGTCATTCCAGCCTTTCATGATTACATCCCATTTAGCTTTAGTTTATTGTTGTTGATATCATTATCATTACTTTTATTTTTATTGGCTCTTAAGGAAGAATTTAATCTTCAAGCCTTCTCAGATCACAAGAGATTCTTAGCAGCAGCAGTGCAGTTTGGCCATGTTAGAAATACTTTATAAAAGAGAAAATAAACAAATAAAAAATAATGGTGTATAAATCCCTTTTTAATTGCACCTAAATCCTGAAACTCAAACTCCTAGTCATGAAGGAAAATCCTGTAATTAGGAGTGATTATCACCTTTTAGTCCTAGGCAGGAGGGAGGTGGGATGGGAATACCTCATTTCAAATGCTATTCCTTTTTTTGTTGTTGTTGTTTTTAATAGAAAAAGCATTTTTTTCTTCATTTATTTAGATTTTTTTTTTTTTTTTCCTTTAAAAAGAGCCTTGGGACTGAGGGATGTTTTTTGGCTATTGTTGGCATCCAAGTCAGAAGAGCCACAGCTGGTCTCTTCCCAGAGAATTATCAAGAGCGCAGCATTTGGGAGTGGTACCCTGGTACCTACAGGGAGGAGGAGACTCAGAAGGGGAGGGGAGAATACCAGCACTGAGGGTCCGAGCACTGAAATCTCAGCATTTTAAGAAAAAAAGAGAAGGACAGACAGAGAGAAAGAGAGAGAGAGAGAAAGAGAGAGACAGATACTGTGTCAATACTGCACTGGATTTCTCAAAAATCACACAGCTTTAATACCTGTGCCCTAGGAAAGCCACTCCTTTGGTAGCTGATTGAGAGGTGAGGACTGGCGGGCAGAGGGGAAGGCATAGCCAGGGAAAGGGCTGGCATTCAGTTCTGCACAGGGGAAGCACCAAGCACCACTGGTACCACTGACACACTGCAAACCCCCTGTTCACTCTCCCATGTGCCTCACCCGCTCGGGATGCACACATGGGAGGCAACAGGAGCTTCTTGGGGATAAACAGGGAGATGAGAAGAGGGAAAAGAGGCTTTTTCAGCTCCAATGTCACTGGCCAGATTGCTGGTTGCTGTTTGCAATAGCTGCAGCTGCCAGATGTGCCCCAGCACAGCTGCAGTTCTCCTCCCACGCTCCTTTAGGAAGGAGGCTCTGCCTTCGCTGTGCCTGGCGGGGTTTTGAGGTGCCTGCACCAGGCAGCAATGGATAAATCCCAGGAAGGGAGCAGGGCAATGGGGAGAGGCAGAGCCAGGAGGCAGCTGCCCGGCTGCCCTTCCCTCCCAGCCCTCCCAGGACGAGGTGTCACCTCCTCCACGGGATTCTGCCAGGCTCTGCCTGGAGCTGGGGCTCTGCCTTGCCACGGGCTCTCCACGCACTCGTGGGTGCTCCAGGAGAGAACAGCGTGGGATTTGGGATCAGCAGGGAGCTCTCTGTCAGTGCCACGCTGGGCTGACAGCCCCTGCTCCGGGTGTTCCTGGAGGGAACTGGGCAGTGAGCAGTGAGAGAGCTCCCATAGCTGGGGAAGGCCCCGGAGAGGGGTCAGGGCTTTGCTTTGCGTGCAGGAGGCGGAACAAGAGCCACACCTCACGAAATAAATAATCAATAACGTGATCCAAGGTCTGCACTAACTCTTGGAATGACCCCCTGGGTTCTCACCATCTTTTCCACTTCCCAGATCCCTCCCTCCCCCAAAACAAAGGCTTGTCCCAAATAGCAGGGCTTCCATGGACAGGCGTTAGAGCTGTGTGACTCCTTTCCTCCTGGAGGGATTGAGGAGTTCAGTTACCACCGGGTGGGCAGGAACACTGGCTTCTCACAATGCGTTTGGAATAAACTACAGCACAGCATAACCAATCATAACAGAAACAGGAAATCAAGAGAAAGCAAAAAACCCAACAGAACCAAAAAATTTGGAAAGTAAGAGTAAATCCACTTCAAAGAAACAAGAATTGTGTAACGAAAAGAAACGATACATATTTATATATTGAAAAAAATAATTCATAATTAATTTAAAAAGTGGCATGCAAAGAAGATTGTTACATTCTCCTATCATGCATCAGGCCCAATGTCCAAACGGCAAGGTAACCATGACGACAAAAAAGTGCAAGAACTCAGCAACATTACCAAAGGATGCATAGAGAGGCCCACAATGCAACTCAACTCATCTCCGTGAGACCCGGGAATGCGCGGGTCTCGCTCATCTTAAAGATTTCTTGCTTTTTCTCGTTTCATTTTTTAAATTTTTTTTTTTCATATTTTTTTTTTCTCTTACGAATGTAAAAATGTGGGTAAAGAAAGTAAAAAAGAAAAAAACCACACCAACCTTCTCGTAGCTCTGAGGGATGTTAAGGGGGTTTGATGCGGAACACAATGACATGAGGAGAAGAGAAAAATAGGGGAAACACAGAGAGAGTAAAAA